AAAAGAACAATAAAACTTTTATTCAGTCTAATCAACAAAAAAGAACAAGATACAAATCACTACTATCAGAAATGAAACGGGGAACATTACTACTGACTCCATGGACAACAGAAGGATAACAGAAATATTGTGGCCATTTGCTCATAAATTTAATCACTTAAATGAAATGGACTTTTTGTTTTTATATATTTATCTCTTTTGGAAAGGCGGGTCTGCAAAGAGGAGAGACAGATTTTCTGGTTGTCTCCACAAGTGACTGCAATGGCTGGAGCTAAGCTGACCTGAAGCCAGGAGTCAGGAGCCTCTTCCAGCTCTCCCACATGGGTGCAGGGTCCCAAGACTTTGGGCCATTCTCTGTTTTCCCAAGCCACAAGCAGGGAGCTGAATGGGAAGTGGAGCAGCCAGGACAAGAACCGATCCCCGTAAGGATGCCGGCGTTGCAGGTGGAGGTTTAGCCTATTACACCACTGTGCCAGTCTCATTATCTCCAACCCTTTAAGGTTGCTGTTATGTTAGCATAACTGGAGTTTTCCTTCCTGCAATGCTTTGCTGTGCTTACTCTGTCCTCTTCTTGGCTGTGACTCCCTACTCTGTACTATATTTGGAATTGAACTCAATTCTTCTCTACCATTCCATGTGGTGTAATATGATACTTTTAGTCTTTTTTCTACCATGCTTTTATCATTGAAGTTATTACGTGTTACTTTCTTTAGTGGAGTCCTTTAAAAGAAACAACAACAACTCTCTCCACCTTATTCCATTTAGCCATGGCTAAGAACCACCGGATCACACCCCAACACAGAGGACCAAGTAGGAGCAGCCCATGAAGCAGTGAGAAGGCAGGAGAGCATGACACACCTACACCTGAATAAGTCAGGTAAGCTGTGCATGAAGGGAGTGATCATGGATAACAAAGGCCACAGAAGTCAACTGATACTGGAATGTTGGACTTGATAAAACTGGAGACCATTGCAGACCTTGATAAAAAGTTTAGGGAAGTGATGGGATTGAAAGTGAAACTCAGATGGACTTAGGAGAGATGGAAAGAGTGGAGACCACTCTGCCAACTAAGATTCAAGATATTAGCTTTTTTTTTTTAAGATTTATTTTTACTATTTTTTTTATTGGAAAGGCAGATATACAGAGAGGATATACAGAGAGGAGAGACAGAGAGGAAGATCTTCCGTCCGATGATTCACTCCCCAAGTGAGCGCAACAACCGATGCTATGCCGATCCGAAGCCAGGAGCCTCTTCTGGGTCTCCCACGTGGGTGCTGGGTCCCAAAGCTTTGGGCCGTCCTCAACTGCTTTCCTGGGCCACAGGCAGGGAGCTGGAAGGGAAGCGGGGCTGCCAGGATTAGAAGTGGTGCCCATATGGGATCCCGGGCGTGCAAGGCAAGGACCTTAACCACTTGCGCCACCGCGCCGGGCCCCAAGATATTAGCTTTGTAATATTCCATCATATGGGACCCAATGTGGTAGCCCAGTGGCTAAATCCTTGCTTTGCATTTGCTGGGATCTCATATGGGCACTGGTTTGTGTCCGGCTGCTCCACTTCCCATCCTGCACCTGGGTCTGGAGACCCAGAAGAAGCTCCTGGCTTGGCTCAGCCCAGCTCTAGCCATTGCAGCCACTTGGGGAGTGAATCAGCAGATATTTCACCCTATCTTTCTGGAAATATGCCTTTCCAACAAAAAGAAATAAGTCTAAAAATTTCTTCATATTCAGTCAGCTCTCCAAGTTGCTTAGAACTGTTCTTTATTGTTACCATTTTTTAAAATTGACATCTTTGTGCATGGGAAACATGGATGGGTCAAAGAATATAACATTTTTTGGAAACATTTTGGTCACAGTGTCAAGCGATGTCATCCCACTTTTGCCAAATTGGACACTTAACACACTGAGAAAAATGACATCATGTTGAACCTATAATTCTTACACGACTGGTAAGCTGGAAGTCTTTTGTCTGTCAGCCATTCACTGTTCTTTATCTCAAAGTTCTCGGTTCTGGCCATCTTTCTGGTCTGAATGGTTCCAATGCCACCTCCCAGAGCCCTTTCAGGAAGATTAACCCATAACTCAGAAGTCACTGTCACTGTAGTATGTTTGGGAGTTTGACTTCTCTTGTCCCCAACACTGTGGGCTGTGTCTAGAGCTGCAGCTTTAAGGGATGGAGGTTTTTGATTTATAGTTGCTGTCAGAGTTGGATTTTTGTCTTGTGTGTTTTCTCTTATTTTAAGAATTTGTTCTATCTCAAATTAAGACAGATTGGGCCTGGCGCAGTAGCCTAGCTACTGAAGTCCTCCCTTGCCTTGAATGTGCTGGGATCCCATATGGGCGCTTGTCCTAATCCCAGCAGCCTCGCTTCCCATCCAGCTCCCTGCTTAGGGCCTGGGAAAGCAGTCAAGGACGGCCCAAAGCCTTGGGACCCTGCACCCATGTGGGAGACCTGGAAGAGGCTCCATGCTCCTGGTTTCGGATTGGCACAGCTGCAACTGTGGCCACTTGGGGAGTGAACCATCAGACAGATCTTCCTCTGTATCTCCTCCTCCTCTGTATGACTTTCCAATAACAATCTTAAAAAAAAATTACAGAGACTGAGAGATAATCCATCCACTGGTTTATTCCCCAAATGGCTGCCAAGGCCAGAGCTGGGCGTCAATGCCAGGGGTCTGACGCTGCTTCTGGACCTCCCACCTGGGGCCGGGTCCAAGCACCTGGGCCACTGCTTCCTCAGGTGCATCAACAGCTGGATGGGAAGTGGAGCAGTCGGGACATAAACCAGTGACCCTAAGTGATGACAGCACTGTAGGCAGAGGATTAGCCAGCTTTTGTTTTTTTAAAGGTGATAATTTTGCATTTTTTGTTATAGCTAAGTAAAGCATTGATACTTACTGTTAAATTACCTCTGAAATCTTAAAGCAATTTGTTAATCACTCCTAACTACAATTTGCCTTCTATTTGCATTATTTTGGCTCAGTTAGTATACACATATTTCAAAATGACTTAAAACAACCTGGAAATCTTTTACAAGTGTCCCACTTTTTTCCTAGATTCTTAGGTCCCCCAGGGATCTGTGCTGTTGTGTGAAAGCCAGCCCTGGAGGATGAGATCCCCAGCCCCTAACTTTTGCTGCTGCTTCTGCAGAATCTTGATTTTCTTGCTATTCAATTGGTGATGGGGCCTGTAATGGGGCACTTAGTTCTCCTGCAGCTTCCCAAGGGCTCTGGTGTTTGAGAGGCTCCTTGCCCCACCTCCCCCACAGGCCTCACTGTCCCCCGTACGTGTGTGCGTGAGAAACCTATGCTTTCACAGCCACCGCTCCAGCATAAGGATATTTGGGTTGTGCTGTTAACAACCATTCATGCTTCATCTAGGACTAGTATCCTTGCGACTGCTGGTGAACTCTCGACCCCAGGCAGGGCACAGGACAGTCTCAAGGCCTTTCCTCTCTGTTGCCCTGACTGCCCCGTTCATCACTATCCATGGCCACTTCATTTCTGAGTGTGCAGGCAGCTTTTTGACCTCCTACAACCGTGTGGTGGTGGCCCTGGCAACAAAGGTCTCCTGGCCATCCTTGCCCAAGTTAGCCAGACTACCAAAGGAGTGACTGGCATAGTTTTGTGCCCAATTATAAAGGGCAGTTGGCCTGAAATAGGACTTCTAAGGCTTGTGGTTTTCTTCTGTTGTTTAATTCCCCAAATGCCTACAGTAGCCAGGGCCGGGCCAGGCTGAGGCCAGAACTCTACCCAGGTCTTCCACATGGTGGCGGGCACTCAGTTGCTTCAGCCACCACCTGCTGCTTCCCAGTGGCATGCTGGCAGAAGCCAGACTAGAAGCAGAAGTGGCACTGCAACAGGAGCTGCAAATGTCTCAAGTGGTACTTACCTTTGAGCTACATGCCCACCATGTTTTGTTATGGTTTTCCAATTATGATTCAGGGCTGAATTATGTTATAGCATGTCCTTTTAGGATACTCTGTATCAAAACGGCAAAGCACAAGAGCAGAAAAGAAAAAAAAAATTGACCTATAGGCAGAAAGGGAGAACAAAAACCCAAAAACCTAGTATTTGTATATGGTGTGATTTCACAACTAAATGAGAAACTGATGAAAATTTAAGAGCATTCAGTGAGGCGGCTGGTGATACCAATTAAAAAGTAACACTCCCTACACTCGGTTGACTGTAGTTCAATGCTGATCATGACAACGGCATTCTTATGTCTGTTGCCTTGCTACAATTTGATGTATATAACATTAAAAATACTGACACATTAAAAAAATAAGTAATGTCCCATGTAAAAACAAAACCCCAAGCAGGAAAAGCATGATGGAAAAATGATTACAATGAAAAAAACAATATAAAATGTGAAAATTAGAAAAATTTACTTAGATATAAAGTAGAATGTTTATGGTTCAAAAACAAAATCTGTAAACTTCACAAATTTTCCCAAGTAATTTATAGGACAAACGCATTGCAATGAAAATACCCAGAAACCTAAAACAACCAAAACTAACCACTAGTTCCTGGTCACGGCACAGGACTGGTCCTGTGAAGGCACTGGCGGCCTGGTTTCTATGCGGGGAATAGGAGCTTGGACATCAGCAGGTCAAAGATGGCGAGCATCTGCTCCCTGGAGACACCTGCAATCTGTACCCTGCGGGGAATGGAAGCTACGCACTCAGGACTCGTGCGAGGTAGATCACCCACTGCCGAGGGTCTGACGGCTGTGCAGCTGGGATACATGATGAAGTCGTGAGGTTCCTAACCTGCCCCGGCCCTAGCTAAGGTCTTCCTGCCTCCAGATCTATCACTTCTCTTCAGGCTGTCGGGGTTTCCTTCTTAGCAGATAAGACATTGCCTCAGTAGAGCGACAAGAATCTGAAAAGTTTTGTCAGGAGCGGGGCTGAATCCCAGACTGCCAGATCCAGGCACATCAAGCCTCTTTGGGCAAGAGACAGTTATTGAGGGGTAACAGAGAACTCACAACAGACACTTCAATTATGTTATGAAAGCATTTCTGTAAAATAGTTTTCACCACAAACTGCAAATGTTAAGTTTAGACTACATACACACGAGACCTCTGACACTGAACTGCCGTAGTTTTCTGATATTCTAAGTAAACAACTCCTTTCAATACCCAAGCCTTCACAGGGTGTTCTGAGGTTGTATGAATCATTACTAAAAGCTGCTAGCTTACAAATCAGTAGTTTTGTTCTTTCAGGGGAATACAGTTCCAGACAAGGACCTCTGCATTCTCTTTTTGTGTGAATTCCCCCGTGACAAAAGACTGGCAATACTTCGAACAGACACAGGTTACTCTGTTCACACACAGCTTAGCAGCCTTGAGAAACATTTGAAGTCTTTCTTGGGAGGGGGATCTGTAATCAATGCAATGTGCACAATTTCATGAAAGAAAGCTTAGCCCAAAGCCTTGATGCTGAGGTACAGCCCTTGAGGATGTTTCCTTCCCTGCGAATTCCCCAACAATCTGAAGTTTAGCCAAGATGGGGATTTATCCAATTTTGGCTACAATGAGGCTTTCCAGTATCGGTATCGCATTTTGGCAGCTGGCGAATCCAGAACTGCTTATGCTTGTCAGGCTCAGGTGGAACAGTCGGCCCGTTCTTGATCTCATTTCTGCTTCCTGGCCTTGCATGTGGGGGAGGTTCTCTCATGTCGGGTACAGTTTGACAGCCGACTGAATCTTCTCCCACATTTTTTGCGACCATATGGCTTCTGAGCCTTGTGACTCTGTAGATGAAGCAGCAATTCTTCATTCTTGGGGAAGGTTTTCCTGCACTCTGGACACTTAAGTATCTTCTCCCTTATGTGGATTCCCTCATGGCGACTCCGATGAGAATTCTGACGAAAGTTTTTCCCACACTGAGAACAGGAATACGGTTTTTCCCCTGTGTGGATTCGCTCGTGTTTATTGAGGTTTGTTTTATGATTGAAGCTCTTCCCACAGTGGCTACAGTCATAAGGTTTTTCTCCAGTGTGAGTCCTCCGATGGGAAATAAGGTAGGAACTTTCATTAAACTGTCTCCCACACAGCGGACAGGTGTACCATCTCCTTGTTTTGCGGTTTTGAGTCAGGGCAGTAATACTGACATCCACATATTTTGAGAGTTCTTCTGGTGGAGTATCATTCTCAATAGTAACTAAAAGATTTCTCACTTTCCTTCTCTGTGGAATGAATGTATTTAGTGTTCTTTCCTCACAGCAATCTAGAGGTTGCTTAGAGACGAAAGAACAATCTATTTCATCATAATCCCCAGACTCTTCTCCACACTGCTGCTTCTCTGCAGGTTCCTTCTGAAGATCTTCACCTTCAGGGCTACTGTCATCCACTGAGGAAGGAGAGAGATAACTCAGTAACTTCTGAGGAATGTATCAACATAAGACAGGAAAGACAAGTTAATTTCTCATGTAACTTTTCAATCAGAAATGTGACAGCTGGCAGATAATGGCCATTTATATTCCTTTGCCTTTCTTATTATTTTGCTATTAAAAAGAATTATGGGCCTGGCACAGTTGCCTAATCCTTGACTAGCATGAGTGTGGATATATATATATCCATATATACGGGTGCCAGTTTCTGTCCCAGCTTCCCCATTTCCCATCCAGCTCCCTGCCTGTGGCGCAGGAAAGCAGTCGAGGACAGCCCAAGGCCTTGGGACCCTGCACCTGCCTGGGAGACCCAGAAGAAGCTCTTGGCTTTCAGTTTTGGACAGGCTCAGCTTGAGTCACTGCAACCATTTGGGGAGTGAACCAGCAGATGGAATATCTCCTCTCTGTCTCTAGATCTTTCAAGAAAAATAAAAAAAACTTTAAAAAATAACAAATAACTGGAACCAATAAGATGAAAATAAAGGGTTCAACTACACCGTAAGTGGCAATGTGAATCTCTGCTGGATTTAGCAGTTGAAAGATATCTTCTTAAGGGCCCGGCGCGGTGGCGCAGTGGTTAAGGTCCTCGCCTTGCACGCCCGGGATCCCATGTGGGTGCCGGCTGTTGCACTCACTTAGGGAGTGAATCATCAGATGGAAGATCTTCCTCTCTATCTCTCCTCTCTGTATATCCACCTTTCCAATAAAAAAAAAAGATATCTTCTTAATTAACTTTTTAAAAAGATTTATTTTTATTGTAAAGTCAGATATATATAGAGAGAAGGAAAGTTAGAAAGGAAGATATTTTTTTTAAAAAATATTTATTTATTTTTATTGGAAAGGTGGATATACAGAGAGGAGGAGAAAGAGAGAGGAAGATCTTCCATGTGATGATTCACTCCCCAAGTGAGTGCAACGGGCCGATGCTATGCCGATCCGAAGCCAGGAGCCTCTTCCGGGTCTCCCACGTGGGTGCAGGATCCCAAGGCTTTGGGCCGTCCTCGACTGCTTTCCCGGGCCACAGGCAGAGAGCTGGATGGGAAGCGAGCTGCCGGGATTAGAACCGGCTCCCATATGGGATCCCGGGCGTGCAAGGCGAGGACCTTAACCACTGTGCCATCGCACCAGGCCCATGATCTACATTTTCAAATGTTGGAAATGTTTTCAGTGAAACTCTTAGGCTGGTACTTTTTCTTGTTTTGTCTTTTTTTTTTTTAATAATTTCAATCGACTAAGGTAACTGGTTTATCTACATTTATATATTTTTAATACTTTTTAGATTTCCATGTTCTTTAAAAAACCTTTAACTCACTAATTTACAATTTTATCAGCATCTTCTTTCAGTTTTCACTTTTCACTTACTCTACTGTCTTGCTAATCCCGAGTGAAAGCTTAACCTAATACATGTTTATAGCTACCGAATTTCCCTTTAAGCATCACTTAAGTTATACCCTGGATTCTGATGTATAGTATTCTCTAGAAAAATTATGCCAACTTAATTTATATTTTCTTCCTCTAACTGAAAGTTAAGAGTTTTGAAAATTCCAGCTTAAAGGATTTATATTTTTGAATTTTCTTTTTAGACATATTGCATTGTGGTGGATCCTAATGGATTATTTCCATATTTTAGAATCTACTAAGTATCTATTGCATTGTGTAAGTACTCAGTTCCTTCCACACTCTGGAACAGGCATAGGCTCAACCATTAGAGCAAATAAAATAGAAACTAGCTTACTGAGAATGTTTATAGTTTCTACCTTTGTCCTTATTTTGATGTGGGCTGAGACACACCTGCTCTGTTCCCTTATGTGAAGGCTCAACCTTTGATCCTTGTCAGCATGAAGTCACTGCCCACCTATAATATATCTGTGGGGTTCCAGCCATGATTTCAGAGACTCAGAGGAAAATCTCATCTCATTTTCTGTCATGGAGTTAATCTCATTTAAAATCAAATCTATTTTCAAACTGCTCCAGATCCCAATCTATCTCAACTTTGTGACAGTTTTTGTATCTAGACCACTTTCCCACTGTTTTACGTGACTGACTCATCTTACAGGCAAGATTAGAGTCAGCGAAGAAGAATAATTCATACTCTTATCACCTGCTGAATCCACCCCTACCTAAAGAGAAAGACAAGTAGCATATTGAAATGCTAAATAATAAAGTAATCTGCTTCAGATATGAGCAAAGTAAGCACAAGGATTGTGTTTACTGCGCCCAAGATGCAAGTCCAAAACACTCCTGCACGGGCGATATACGCACCAAGCAGTCACTCAAAATAAATACTAGCTTTAGCCAAGACCCAGGAAAGCCCAGTGAAACAAATCTGATCCTTTCACACTTTTCTCTAAAATAAAGAAAACCACTACAAAGAGCAAATTAAGGGAAGTTAATGAGGCTCATTATATACCAGTAACTCTGAAAATACAGTATAATAGAGCTAGGAGTTCCACAGGCACAGTGCAGTGCTGTGGTCCCAGGCCACTCCCCAGGCCTGTCCAACTTTGGCTCAGAGGTAAACAGCCCCACACAGCCCTGCAGACAAAGCAAAAAGCCTTAGCTGCTCAGGAAGGACATTCGTGAGCACACAAGCTTCGAGGGTAATAGTGCATTTTCTAGAAAAAAGTTGAATCACCTCTGATGGCTGCCATGATAACCGGAGAAGGGCGGAGTTTGCCCCCAACCAAATCTCGAACGGAAGACAAACAGAAAATGGGAGCATACTATTTCTGAACCCACTGTTTGGCTCATATGCTCACGCCTGGATGTCCTTTGAAGTAGTATTTTTACTGGTTATAAGACTAACTCTGAGTGACCTCCCTCCCCATTCATTTCATGTTCAATGCATGTGACTCCAACCTAGTACAGAGGAACTTCAAAAAAGCTCATGGAAAAATGCAATTAACCAATAAGTTTCCTTTGACCCAAAATAATTCTCAAATTGTAGATACAGATCACCAAAAATTCCTTTGAAAATACATGTTATGGGGAAAAAAAAAGCTTGGGTATATTTTTTGGTTTTTTTGGTACCAAAAGAAATTTGCTTACCTTTAAATCTGCCTTTCACAAACTTTTAGAAATACTCTTCTATAGGTGACTGTATAGCCTAACTCTAATGAAAGTAATTTCTAATAATTACTGAATACTGATGTGTTAGACAATAGTCCAAGTATTTGGTATGCATTTGTTACTTCATGCATTGCTTAAAATATTACTGTGAGTATAAAATGATTATTAGTATTGCAGAAAATTAAAAGAAAAGAAAGGAAGAGGGAGGAAGGGTGGGAAGTATCATGTACTTCCAATTGTATATATGAAATGAAATTTGTTTTCTTTATACAAATTTCTTAAAAATTTAAAATTAGTGGGCCCGGTGCAGTGATCCTAGTGGTTAAAGTCCTTGCCTTGAACACACAATGGGATCCCATATGGGAGCCGGTTCTAATCCCGGCAGATCCACTTCCCATTCAGCTCCCTGCCTGTGGCCTGGGAAAGCAGTCGAGGACGGCCCAAAGCTTTGGGACCCTACACCCATGTGGGAGACCCGGAGGAAGCTCCTGGCTTCTGGCTTCAGATAGGCATAGCACTGGTCATTGTGCTCACTTGGGGAGTGAATCATCACATGGAAGATCTTTCTCTCTGTCTCTCCTCTCTGTATATCTGACTTTGCAATAAAAATAAATATTTTTTTGAAAAATTTAAAGTTATCATTACTTTACAGATGAAAAGGTGGGACAAAAAGAAGTTAGGAAATGGGCCCGGCGCGGTGGCGCAAGTGGTTAAGGTCCTCGCCTAGCACGCCCGGGATCCCATATGGGCGCCGGTTCTAATCCCGGCAGCCCCGCTTCCCTTCCAGCTCCCTGCCTGTGGCCCGGGAAAGCAGTCGAGGACGGCCCAAGGCTTTGGGACCCTGCACCTGCGTGGGAGGCCCGGAGGAGGCTCCTGGCTTCGGATCGGCATAGTATCGGCCCGTTGCGCTCACTTGGGGAGTGAATCATCGGATGGAAGATCTTCCTCTCTGTCTCTCCTCTCTGTATATCCGCCTTTCCAATGAGAAAATAATAAAAATAAATCTTTTAAAAAAAAAAAAAAAAAAAGAAGTTAGGAAATTTGCTGAAGGTCACACAGTTCTAAGTAGCAGAGCAAGGATTTGGAGCAGGGGAATCTAGTGTGAGAGTTTACAGTCATGGTCCAGAGCCATTCTGCCTCCTGGCTGTCTTAAGATTTGTCAGTGAATTTCTATAAATGCTTGCCATTCAAGAACAAACTTATTTTTTTTTTTTTTAAGATTTATTTTTATTATTTTCTCTTTGGAAAGGCAGATATACAGAGAGGAGAGACAGAGAGGAAGATCTTCCATCCGATGATTCACTCCCCAAGTGAGCGCAACGGGCCGATACTATGCCGATCCGAAGCCAGGAGCCTCCTCCGGGTCTCCCACGCAGGTGCAGGGTCCCAAAGCCTTGGGCCGTCCTCGACTGCTTTCCCGGGCCACAGGCAGGGAGCTGGAAGGGAAGCGGGGCTGCCGGGATTAGAACCGGCGCCCATATGGGATCCCGGGCGTGCTAGGCGAGGACCTTAACCACTTGCGCCACCGCGCCGGGCCCAAGAACAAACTTATTTGACCTACTTATCAATAATAACTGACAAACCTGGGCCCGGTGCGATAGCGTAGTGCTTAAAATCCTTGCCTTGAACACGCCAGGATCCCATATGGACGCTGGTTCTAATCCCAGCAGCCCCACTTCCCATCCAGGTCCCTGCCTGTGGTCTGGGAAAGCAGTCAAGGACGGTCCAAAGCTTTGGGACCCTGCACTCTTTGGATTGGCTCAGCTCCAGGAGTTGTGGCCACTTGGGGGGATCAACCACTGGATGGAAGATCTTCGTCTCTGTCTCTCCTCCTCTCTGTACATCTGCCTTTACAATAAAAATAATCTTAAAAAACAAATAATAATAATTGACAAACCTCCTCAGTGTCACAGAGAAACTGCCCTACAGCAGCCTCTTTAATCTGCCTAGAGGTTGTTACATTTGCAGCTCGCCAAAATGTTAGATTTGCCAACCACCAGGAAAAGAATAATTCAGCCACATATGTGAAAAGAATTTAGATGGCCTTTATTTCAGGGAACCACGGTCACGGGCTTCCCTTCCCCATGCCGCAGAAAGGACAGACAGGAAGGCGTGGGCTGCAGAGGAAGAAGATCGCAGAAGAGACGGGGAAGGGACTTTTTAAACGCTCCTTGACACGGAAGCCAAAACATGGGTCGCCTCGGCCCCTATTTGGTGGGGGGATAAGGGTCTGTGCCCCTCATTGGTGCAGCATGTGGTTTCACAGCCTGAGGGGCCCGCCAGAATGCTGCCATCCTTTCAGAGTTTGGTTGGAGGCAAACCCCGCCCTTCTCTGGTTATTGTGGTACCCATCACTTCCCTTAAAAATGGTCCTCTATCTCTACTCCCTCTGCTACCTCCAACATACAAGGACAAAAAGCCACTTAGAGCCGGAGTGCTGCCGAGGTTCTGCCACATGGGATAATGCAAATGTGCACAGGTGCTTCACCCTGTGAACTGTGCCTCAAAAGCCCAAGGGACCAAGCACGTGCTCTTCATAACACAGAACTAAAACACAAAGGACTTGATTTCTTACCTAGTAACACCATCTCCCCAACATTACTATTCTCTTCCTTCTCTGACGTGGAGTGCTGAGCAGGATCCAGGCTTACACATTCTTCTTGGGAGTGAAATATATTCAAATCCTCAAAGAGTACCAGTTCCTGGAAGAACAAGAGGTCCCTTTCCTCTTAATAAATGAAGTTCTCTGACAGTTCTGCTGATAAGAAAGACCAAGACACAAAGATGAAAAGACAGTGAAAGGAACCTATTAATCCCACCCAGGTATGGTATAGATAATACAGCCAGGATGAGAAAAGCCAGGGGAAAAGCAGAAGAAAAATTCCCAAAGAGGCAACTCCTAGGAATGTGCTTGTGTACATGGATTGGCCAAGCAGGGAAGGCTGCAGGAGCAGAGAGGGTGGTGCACTCAGTGAATGGGAAAACCGAACCCACCTCCGGGTCAGCTTTCAAACACAGAGACAGAGTCTCTTGTTTCTGTGCGACTCCTCTGGGCAGAAGCTTCACTAAGGGTCGAGAACGCACTGGGAAGAGAGGAAGCTGTTAGTTATTGAGAAACTCTGTGATGCTAACAGAGCCTCTGCCTGCGCCTTGAGGCCAGGCCGCCCTCGCTCCTGCACCAGCAACTCAGAGAGCAGCCTGTGCTTTCCCTACAAGCCCTTGCAGAGTTCACGCCATAAACCTGAGGGCCTGGAATCTATATGAGCTTTCTCCTCGCTACTGAAAAAAAAAATTTTTTTTAAGCAAAATTTCCCAGAGAGCTACCAAAACAGAGCTTTAGGAAAGACCAAGTGTGAAGATGTTTAGAGCAAATATGAAATTTCTAAATTCCCACATAAACTGAATGCAACTTGATAATCTGATTTCCTTTTCCTAAAACAATATAACTTCTAAAATGTTTGGGTAAAACCAGCACTACAGAAAGACGCCCAGTGTTTAACCTTACACACACCCAGCCAATCACTCAGGCTGGAGCTCAGGAAGAAAATTTTCCTCTTCCCAATGGCTCAACGGAACAAAGAACTCCCCCTCTAAAATCTATCATTTGAACTCGAATTATTTACTGCCACAAAAGCCTATCTCAGATCCTGGCACCAACCCCTTCTCTGCCAGTGCAACAAACACACGCTTCTCACCTCTTCTCTGAAGGCTTGCGCTCACATCCTTCAGGATAACCAAGGTCTCCACAGCTTTCTGACTGGGCTGGGCCACACTTGGCTTGGGCAAGAAGGTAAGGAAGTGCTCCAGCACTAGCTGGTGGATGCTCTTGGGCCCACTCGTGGTATCTCGATGGAGGTCTTGGCCCAGCTTGGAGTTGGTAGGAACTTGCAATATAAAGGACTGCTTTGATTTGGGGGGCATAGGAGCCACTTTTGCAGCCATTGTGCCTTGCGACCACAGACCACACTCGTTTCTGGGGTTCCACAGCCAACTCTTAAAGAGGGAAATCTGCCAGAGCCAAGCTGCAGACAGAGAAACCACGGATCACCCACAAAGCCAGGGAGAGCAGGAATGCACATGTGATTAGGGCAGTAAGGCCACAAATGGTCCTAAATCAGGAAAGGAAGAGACCGGGACGGGGTGGAGACACAACTGAACCAGGATGGTCCTCAATAGGATACGATGCAAACCAAAACTCAGTGGCCAAGGAAGGGAGCAAAGATGGCTGAGCAGGAGGCTAAGGACCATCTTCAGAGGAAACCCGAAGCGCAAAACCAATCGGGAAGAGCGTTACATTCACGTTTGCAAAAAGCGCAACAGGCTGGATGACAGGATTCAGGGGCACAAATATCGAGGACAAGCTACTTAAAAGCAGACTGACTGCTGCATCTGGCCATTCTTCTACCCCGGGATCGGAGCTGTCTCAAGTGCCCTTCGTAGGGACAGCTGATGACTCTACAAGGTAATGTAAAGACGGCAAGAGTTGTCCATACAGGGGCTGCTGACTTCTCTCCAGTGTCAAAGCCTTTTTGAGAGCGCAAGAGGACATCCTTCTGGACCCACTGGGTCAGGCGTACCCTGCGTTTTATCTTAAGGGCCAAGGGCCATTTTTACCGCAAAGCAGAGCCGTCGGTGCTACCTGGGGCGCGCACCCAGGTGCCCCGATTCTACTCGGCTCCCCTAGCGACAGATCGCGATCTGTTCCCGCCCTCGCGGAATCCCTCACCTCTTTGGGCTCTGCGACCCAAGGGGCGCTCGCTGGGACCGACTCAGGGACCCAGGCTCGGGGAAACACCGGGACACTTGGCGCGAGTGACCGAACCCTGGCCTCGCCTTTCGGAGAGTTCTCTCAGGCCGTCGGCCACCATGGGTGCGAGCCGCCGTCACTCGAGAGGGCGGCGGGGACGTGGTGTCTACTGGGAGGCGAGGTGCCTCCGGCACTGTGACGTCAGGCCTCGTTTCCGGTCCTAAGGCATGGTCTCCCCACTCGGAGCGACCGTCTGCGTTGGAAAGAGCGAGTTTCGAGGCCAGTCCGCGGCGCTCTCAGGGACCGGGGAGATCAGTCAGGCAGCATCCGCTCTTTCTGCCGCTCCACCTCAGACCCTGCGAGCAGGAGGCTGGCTCCGGTCCTCTGGATCGGGCTGGCACCGCTGCAGGGGCGGCCGGCTCAGCCGCGGACCCTTCTGGGAAATGTAGTCCGACTCCAAGCTACCCAGGGAGCGGCGGGGCCGGCCTGATCCGCCACAGGAAGTGGCGCGTCGCGGGACCGGAAGGGCGATGTTGGGCGCTGAGGTTTCTTCGGGAGCACGCTGGCAGATGGGACAGCGAAGGCGACGTTGACCAACGGGTGGTCATGGCCTGGTTCAGAGCAGAGTCTCCTTCCCCGTCTCGCCAGTTTGCGGTCTGGACCTGTCATCTTCATCCCTCAAGAATCGTCGCTGTGCCTCTCGGGAGGTCTCCATGCTTGCGCTGCAGTTCAGGCTGCTGGAAGCTGAACTCGGACTTGGAACGTTGTTTCCGTAGTGGGTTCATTTTTCCAGCGAGAAGCTGATGATGTTGTAGGGTTTCGACCCTGAGTACAGCAGCAACCTCAATTCTTGTCTCGCAGGAAAGAAAAGCTGAGGAAGGAGGCTCCTGTCCTAGTGACGAGAGGAGGCTACAGAACCCGTGCCTCCTGCCACTATGGCAGGAGGAAGAAGGGAAAAAAACCCAAGTTAACGGTGGAGATAGAATCCTTTAAAGATTCATGTCAAAGATATTTCTCCATGAACAAAGGAGAATTCCTGGTTTCTGTAATACCTGGCCCTGGGACAAAAGGCCCAGAAAAGTGTCACCACCCAACTTCCTTGGTCCCTTTTTAAAAAGAGATCAGTCTTAGGCCCTCCCCCTTGGCCATGGGCTGACACTTCATGTGAGGAATTGGTATGTTAAGTCGCCCTTGTCTCTTGGGGAAGCGAGTTCTGCACTAAAATACTTGTTCTGGTTAATCCAAGAATGTGGGGAAAATACCTTTATATTTGAGGGAAAAAATGACTCAGGGACCCAGAATACCCTAACTACTACTACCCAGTCTAACTCCTCTGTCAGTGAGGCTTAGGAAAACCTGTGGGCAGAGATCGCCTTTCGCCTTCATACACATTCGAACATGGATGTGTATAAAGCGAAACCATAGCTGACTTGCTGAAACGTGGTTTAAGACGAATGGTACAAAGAACATAACAATCGTACGGCACGAAAAGAGTACTAAAATTTTTTTTCTTAAAGATTTGTTTTTATTGAAAAGGCGGATATACAGAGAGGAGGAGAGACAGAGAGGAAGATCTTCCATCCGATGATTCATTCCCCAAGTGAGTGCAATGGCCGGTGCTACGCCGATCCAAAGCAAAGAGCCAGGAACTTCCTCCAGATCTCCCACACGGGTGCAGGGTCCCAAGGCTTTGGGCCGTCCTCGACTGCTTTCTCAGGCCACAAGCAGGGAGCTGGATGGGAAGAGGTGCTGCCGGGATTAGAACTGGCGCCCAGAAGGGATCCTGGCGCGTTCAGGAGGGCAAGGACTTTAGCCACTAAGCCACACCACTGGGCCCTCCACATTTTCAAAGTGGTTAGAGAAGAATGTGGACACACCATTGGCCTACAGTTCCGAGGGAAAGCAAGGGCGGAATGTTTGGCCCGAGGAGCATCTGGGAGTGCAGATTCAGTGGGGGGGTTATCACGCAATAGCCATGCACTTCTTTCTCTGAAGTCTACTTCACATTGCAGCACCTGTGCTACTTTCATCCTTGATTGGCAAGTAGTTGCTGACCTCTGCTACAATCTGGTAAGCTTTTTGGCTTCATTATGTTTCATCTGTCAGCTAGCACCAGGTAGTGTCTGGTGAGGACTGGTGGGTGGATGAACCATGACCCAGGCCGAGAGCCCGGAGCCACGCGGGTGGGAGCCACGCGGGTGGGGCGCTCAGTGAGGCCGCTGACCATTCGCTGGACAGATGGTCAGAGGGCCTGTGTTCTTCCCCCCATCGTGTCCCCCGGGGCTGAAGATAGCCTGAAGGGGGCCAGAAGAAGAGAAACTGGTGAACGTGTATATGTGGGATCTGGCTGTCACGTTGTAGAAGGAGATGTTTCTGGTCATGTAGTCTAGGAAGATGCCCACGCGCCTCGGCGGCTCCCTCATCTTCAGGCGGGTCGGCGGGAAGGAAGACACCTGGTACTCATTCTGCTTCATCATCATCACCCAGTAGCCATTCTCAGGTGACAAAGTCATGCTCCCCTTCCGGCTCACGGATGCCTTGCAGACCCCCAGCATCCATGTTGTCTTGTCTCTGACCTCCACTTCCCAGTAATGGCGGCCGGAGAGGAAGCTGGGGGTGCCCAGAGCAATGATGCAGCTGTCAAATCTCTCTGAGCCTTCTGGAAGTTGGTCCCACTTGTTTCCAAGTCTCATGCTCTTCAAATTGTCAGAGAAGATGAGGTTGGGGTGTGAGGTTTTTGTATCCAGGATGATATTAACTGCAGAGGAAGTTAGGAAAACAAGCTGGGGTGCACCAGCAGCATGACCCCAAGGTTTTTCCTACCCCCAGGACACAGGGGCAGGACCACTGTTCCAGAATGTGGTGGGGGACACTCAGGGGTGCAGCAGACCAAGCTTGTTTGCCTTTATTGGGGCACTTACCAGCATATGCCTGTGCACCAATCAGTTCTGGAACTAGAGGAGAAAAAGAACAGGGGGAAGGTCCTGAGGCCTGCTGTCCAGGGAGCTGAGTGACACTCCCCCACAGCACAGAGAGACAAGAATACCTCTGTGAGGACCCTGCAGCTTGTAACTGGGACAGCCTTGTTCGTCCCAGGCACCCAGGCCTGTCCAGAGAGGTAGCAGCCAGCAAGGTGGCACAGAGGGCTGCACAGCATGTGTGGTCTTCTGTGACCAAATAGATCCCTGAAACCAGTGCCGTGTCACAGGAACCCTGGCCATCACTCACCATTGAATGTTTCCATTTCCAAACGCAGTGTTTCTAAAGGGGGAGAAAGGGAAGCTCAGGTTATACCACCAAACTCTGTACGGAGGGGGAAGCTGGAGACGTGAGAGTTGAGATGAGGCAGGAAAGCGAGGGGCTCTGCGCTGTGTGGAGCTCAGTGATGAAGTGAAAGGCAGCTCTCATTCCCCCTAAGCCCACCTACCTGAGAAGTGCTTCATGCTCTTCTCTATAAACTCTGACTTCTGGTAGAGCAGGTGAATCTTTTCTCTCACCTCCGGAGGAGTAACCCATGGCTCAGGAGCAGTCATGGCCTTGGCCCTAAGGACGAGACTGTTAGCCAGACAGAATCGGAGCAAGACGGTGGCCAAGTTCCCATGACCAGAGCAAAGGTGCAACCTGAGCTGCGTAAAGCAAAAGCCTCTCTGAACTCAAGATTCTGAGCAGTGCTTCTCAACTTTGGCCACACATGGGCGTCTCAAGAGAAGTTTCAAGAACCATAGATACCAAACCTCTGTGAGTTTAATAATGGCCTTAAAGTAGTATTGATATTATCTATTGGAATTATCTATATGGAGTTAATTATATGTTCAGTCTGATTCTTTCTTTTTTTTTTAAGATTTATTTTTATTATATTTTATTGGAAAGGCAGATATACAGAGAGGAGAGACAGAGAGGAAGATCTTCCGTCCGATGATTCACTTCCCAAGTGAGCGCAACAGCTGATACTATGCCGATCCGAAGCCAGGAACCTCTCCCGGGTCTCCCACGCGGGTGCAGGGTCCCAAAGCTTTGGGCCGTCCTCGACTGCTTTCTCAGGCCACAGGCAGGGAGCTGGAAGGGAAGCGGGGCAGCCAGGATAGAACCGGCGCCCATATGGGATCCCAGGTGTGCAAGGCGAGGACCTTAACCACTTGCGCCACCGCGCCGGGCCCTGATTCTTTCTTTTAAAGATATATTTAGGGCCTGGCGGCTAAAGTCCTCGCCTTGAATGTGCCAGGATCCCATATGGGCGCCAGTTCTAATCCCAGCAAGCTCCACTTCCCATCCAGCTTCCTGCTTGTGGCCTGGGAAAGCAGTCAAGGATTTCCCAATGTCTTGGGACCCTGCATCCATGTGGGAGACATGGAAAAAGTTCCTGGCTCCTAGCTTCAGATCGGCACAGCATCGGCCATTGCACTCACTTGGGGAGGGAATCATCGGACAGAAGATCTTCCTCACTATCTCTCCTCCACTCTGTATATCTGACTTCGTAATAAAAATAAGTCTTTTAAAATATATATATTTATTTTTATTGGAAAATCAGATTTTCAGAGTAAAGGAGAGACAGAGGAAAAGACCTTCCTTCCGCTGGTTCACTCCCCAAGTAGTTGCAATGGTTGGTGCTGAGCCAATCCAAAGCCAGGAGCCCCTTCTGGGTCTCCTGTGTGGGTGCAGGGTCCCAAGGCTTTGGGCCATCTGCAACTTTCCTAGGCTACAAGCAGAGAGCAGAAAGGGAAGTAGAGCAGCCAGGATATGAACTGGCACCCATATGTGATCCCAGACGTGCAAGGCGAGGACTTAGTCACTAGGCTACCACATTGGGCCCTGTCTTTGATTCTTTTGAAATAAAAATAAGTGAGAAAACAAATCGTAGTAAAATTCTAATTACACCCTATGGATTGGCTAGACTAGAAATAAAAATGGCAAGGATGTGGAGAACTTGAATCCTCCGCATTGCTGGTGGGCTTGTGAAATGATACAGCTATGGTGGGAGACTATATAGTGGTTCCTCAAAAAATTTAACAGAACTTCAGTCTGATCCAGCAGTTCCACTTGCAGACATATATTCTAAGTAACTGAAAGCAGGCTCTCCAGTCGAGTATTTAATGCCCATTTTAAAAGCAATGTTATTCCCAATAGCAGAAGGTACAGTTTAATGTCCATCAGCTGATGAATGGATAAGCAAAATGTGGTATAGAAACATGATTTAAAAATGCGATAGAATGTTATTCAGCTGTAAAAGGAAGTAAAATTCTGACATGTAATACAACAAGAATGAACACTGGGGACACTGTGCTGGGTGGAAGGAGTCACGGTCAGGACAGACATAGCCTTGGTCCACTCGGGTGAAGTCCCGAGTGGCCATGGTTCCAGAGACAGAGCGCTGGGTAGTGGTTGCCGGGGGCGGGGAGTGCGAGTGAGGAGTTGGTGTTTGATGGGGATGCATTTGGGAAGAGAGGGAGTGCTAGAGATGGTTGGAGGCGGTAAATCTGCAGCAGCCTGAGTGTCCTTCCTGCTGCTCACCTGCACACCTGAAGATGGTTAAAATAGCACTGTGCTGCCTCCTCCATCCTCAATCAGAACGCTCTAAAATCTCACTAGCTCACTGCCTATAGGCTGATGAGCACTGGCCACTGGGAACTCCCCACCCCCACCCCCAATCACCATCTAGCCAGGGGGCACAGGCAAGTCCTCCCTGCGTTGTAACAGTGTGGCAGCCCAGCAGCACTGTCCCCTGGCTTGGTGCAGTTGCATGGGCATCTGTTTTGTATAGTTCCCCAAGCAGCCCTGTGTGCAGCCTCCTCCCTTTGCTCCCAGCCCCTCTGCCAGGCTCGGCCCAGCTCACACGGAGACTCCTGGGAAGTGCTGCCTTCCCCGAGGCCACAGGCAGCTCTGCCGGGCATTCACTGCCTTGTCAGCCCCTCTCTGCATAAATCCAGGCAAGCTGCGGGCAGGGTAAGTGTCTGCAGTCACAGACCTGGGGTTTGGGGGCGGCTCCCTCCTAGGTGGGAGGGAGGCGCCCAGAGGGTCATGACAGGAGCTCTCTACCTGTGCAAGGTGACTCCGATGCCCTAGGAGAGAAAAGAGGGAAGCTTTCCAGCACCAGCCTTCAGAGGCCGAGCCCTGCCCGCTCCCCCTGGCTCCTGCCCTTACCAGGAATCCAGCCCCCTCCCCCCCCCCCGACACTGCAGCACTGCTCCTCAAGTCTGCCTCTCATCACCTGAGCATTTGCCCTGCTGGGGCCTGCCATGAAGCTGCACCCAGCCCTCACACCTGTTTTGGATAATGCCAGGGACCACCAGTCTCAAGACACGCCTCATCCAAAGGGTCTGGGCACGGAAGACATCAAGGGCCATCCAGGTCCCCGCCCCTCAGGCCTCCCTCAGGGCTTGGGCAGTGCTGGAAACCTGAGCCAGACTAGCAAGTCTAGGGGACAGGGAGGCCCTGCCCTGACACACTCACCTGCACCAGCTCCCATTCTGGCTGGCACTGCTGGGCTTCCAGCTCCCCAGTCAGCTCATCCAGAAGGGCGATGTCACAGGACACTTGGGTGCCATATTTCTCCCGGACCTGGCCAATGGTCTGGCCCAGCTCATCCAGCCAGGCCACAAACAGCTGCTCTTGACGCTCCAGAAACTTGAAAAGCTGCTCCACCTGGCTCCGGATTCTCTGTTTCTGGATTTCAGTTTGTTTCTGAGGAATATAGGAGAGAGAGAGTAGGAGTCAGTAATATGAGATGGGCCCTGTGTATCCTGGGGGTCCCCAGAAGCCCACCTCCTGGAGAAGGCAGATGGGAGCCTTAGGTTCCACAGCAGCAAGCAAGCTAGATTGAAACCTCCTAGAGCCGACTGAGGCCCTTGCCAAATGGCAAATTTGGACAGAGAGAGCCTTGTGGAACACCAGGACGTGGAAAAGAGGGGCTGGCGTAAGTCGGGTACTGGGGCAGGTGCTTCTCTCACAACCCTCAGGAGCCAGCGCTGCCAAGCAACCTTGACTTTAAGAGTGTGAGATAGCAAATTGCTTTGGCTTAAGCCCATGATGCTTGTGACAGTACCCACGGGAAACTGAGAGCCCTGGTGTGTGTGCCTCCCTGGAAAGCTGGTGCTAGAATGCCCATGCCCTGGGGTTCTGCATGGAAGGCCATGGCCTCCAGGTGTGCTTCTGGCTTGACGAGCTGTATGTAGGCATTGTAAGGAGCCACTTGAACAGTGGCCCCGAAGCCTAACGTGAACCCACCATTTTAGACCCGGTGCCACCTTAAATATCTGCTTCCCCTAGGTCCTAACCCCACTTGTGTAAGCTTCGCACCTTTTAGATTTAAATTGTGTTCTCTGCCAATCCGCTGTTCTTTATGGCACCATACCAGCTGGCCCTAGGCACCAATCCCCGGGGCACTAGCTCTCAGATTCTCTGTGGTCCTTCCCCTGCATAGGCTGTATTGTCACCACCCAAGGCCCTTGTCACCCAAACCGATGCAGTCGGTGGTCTTGGATTCTAACCTCTGAATCTGTAAACTAACCAAATTCTTTCTCTGTAAAGTTGACCATCTCTATTTTAGTTGTAAGGAAAAGCCACCGAGTACAAGTGGGTACAAACAGGAACCAGCGAGGGAGACAGGCCCAGCCCAGTGGAAATGCATGAGCAAGGCCAGGCCCTAGGGCGGCGGCATCTCCTTCTCAAGAAGAAAGAGGAGCAGCTTACCTGTCTGTCCTGCACAGCAGAAGGTAAAGGTGTTTGCTGAAGTTGGTGGTGTTGAAGAACCACAGTTGTGAAAATATGTGGGGCTGGCATAGTGGCACGGCATTGACTTTCTTTGAATCAGAGCCCTGCCTGGCACTGGCCCCTCCCTGCCTCCTGCAGGTGTGAATGCCTTACCAGGAGGCTCTCCATCTGCTCAGCTCCCTGGGACCCCTGCTGCTCTCCAGATTGTCTCAGCTGCTTCAGACGTTCCAGTTGCTGCTGAATCTGCTCCTGGGAAAGGGGTGCTTGTTGAGCTCCTGTCATTGTCAGCTGACAAGCAACATCCACCCCTAGCGGCAAGGCTGAGGGCGCTGCAGTAGGGGGCAGTATTGTGTGCAGAGGAGAAAGGGCCACGGGTTCCATCACCATGGGACATAGAGACAAAGGGAGACCCCGCGACCTCCTGGGAGCCCCAGAATTCAGGCACATCTGAAAGCACAGTGACCTCCCACCACCAGCAGCCCTGGGTCTCCAAGCTACAACCGGCCTATTCTCCCTTGGCTGCTGCAGTCTGTGTTGTGATATGGCCATTTACAGCCTAGGAGTTCTGGCTAGTGTACCAACATCCCAGAGATGGTGCAGGAAACATGTCCAGCACCCATGATGTGTGCTGGGGTGGGCCTTCCGGTGGTGACACCTACCCTGTACTCCAGGGCGACCTCCTCCAGTGGGCGCACACGGTGGCCTTGGTGCTCCTGACTCAGCCTACAGATGAGGCAAATGGGCTCCCTGTGGTCCTCGCAGAAGAGCAGCTGGACCTGCTTCATGTGGCGCTGACACTGTGGCAGCGGCTGAGAGCTCAGCTCTGGGGAGTTCTTCCATGCCAGGGAGGCCTGACATTGCAGGCAGCTGTGCAAGTGGTTGCTGGAGGCCCTGAGGTGCCCGGGAACAAGAGGGCAGCTGCAGACGCCGTGCCTGCAGATACCACCAACTGGGTCTCCTTTCTGGGTGTGGCAGAGGGAACATGCAGCCTTGCCCTGTGGCTTCCCTGGGGACAATGACAGTGGAATGAGTGGAAAAGCCAAGATGTTCTTAAAACAGGGCTGTCGGCCACAGGACCACATAGATCCTTGGCTAGACCCTGTCCAGCGTGTCCTCAGACTTCTGCCCAGCGAGCAGCAAACATGTCCTGGGGGCCAAGCGCTGAATGAACAGATGGGCCACTGCACATGCCCCAGGTTCAGGCGGCATTAAAGGAAAGCTGAGGAGGGAGATTTCTGAGGCTAAGGACACACCATCCCTCATGACAGCTGTGAGCAAGTCCACCTCAAGAGGACCACAGCGGCTTCAGAAAACAGTAACGACCGACCGACCGACCCACCAGGAATAGGAGGGTCCCAAAAGTAACAGAGTATCTCAGTGCTTTGTGAGCAGGTGCGTGCAGGTGTCTCTTCAGGGTCCACAACCTGCACACGATTCAGAGGGCCGCCAGGGCACCCAGAAATCCCACTGATAGAAACGGGGAAGAAAAGGGATTGGGAATAACAGCTTTACAGGCCACAGTTGCTATGGATATGAGGTTTTCTGGATATTCTGAGTTCTTTCTCACCTGAGAAGAGTTGGACGTCTGGATCTGAGGCCTGGCAGAGCGCATCTTCTGCTGCTGCTCCCTGGGTGTCGGGGGTCTCTGTACCCTCAATTCCCTTTTCCCCCCAGGGTGCTGTAGATTCCTCTTCTGTAGTCACCAATGCACTGGGAGGTGTGTTCCTGAATGGTCCCCGCTGTGGAACCGTGGACTGTTCAGGATTCCTAGCGTTCATCCGAGTGGTGTTCCCAGCCCCGATCTCCTCCCCAGCTAGAAGAGATCCTGGTTTTGAGGCTTCCTTGTCTTCTGAAGAAATGGTAAATTCGAGGCTTTTTGGTCGCTTCTTTCCTGAATCTAAGTATAAGTCGGCTTTCCTCTGTTCCTTCCTGGCTAGCTGCACACCATAGTGCCCCTGCAGCCGGCCTGCTGAGCTGACGTTCCTGCGGAGCTGGGCGCTCACCTCAGCCGGCCTACCCCCAGAGGGCTTGCACAGCCCGGGGCTCCTCCTGCCCAGCAGCTTGCCCTGAGCATCCAGGCTGGGGCACTTGGGGTCCCTCCGTTTGCCCTGAGGCTTCTTCTGGGACCCCCTCCCGGCCTCCGGCTGGCTGGCCAACAGGCTGGGCGTGCTGTCCCCGCCCTGTGGCTCCCCCTTGCTGTCCGGGCCGGCTGCCACCTTAAGGTTCCAGGCTGTCTTCACTGCTGAGGATGGTGCCTCAGGGCCCTCCCAACTGCTTTCCGCAGGCTCTGTAATGACAGGCAGGGCAAGACCATGAGCTTCACCAGGGGTGGAGCACGGGAAGAGAGACCCCTCAGGCACTGTGCATGGACATTTGTGCTCAGAATATTCCAGAACTTGGCAGTGGCTACCTTAGCAGTTAGTGCCAGGTGAAAACACTGGATTTTTTAGCAAACATTACTTTCCAGGCTTTTAAAGGAGAATTTGTTTTGACTAAGATCTTACACAGAACTCAAAAATGTAAAATAAAAACTGGTGCAAATTCACTTAAAAGCAAAGAATAGTTAATGTGTTTGATCAACACCAAAAATTAGAAGATTACAAAACTTAGTTAAAGCTTCAAAAAATATCCCTGTACTTCCTCCCTTTGATTGTGTGAGTTGAAGGAATTTTTAAAAAAAGATTTATTTATTTTTTGTATTGTACAGGCAAATATACAGAAAGAAGGAAATACAAAGATCCTCCATCTGCTGGTTCTCTCTGCAAGCGGCTTCAAAAGCTGGAGCTGAGCTGATCCGAAGCCAAGAGCCTGGAGCTTCTTCTGGGTCTCCCATACACAGGTAGGGTCCCAAGATTTTGGGCCGTCCTCGACTGCTTTCCGAGGCCACAGGCAGGGAGCTGGATGGGAGGTGGAGCAGCTGGGATTAGAACCAGCGCCCATATGAGATCCTGGCATGTGCAAGGCTAGGACTTTAGCCACTAGGTTATTACACCAAGCCCTGAAGGATATTTTAAGTCAGACAAGCACATGTAATAGGGATATTAAAACAGTGGTGTGGCATAAATGACAAGGCCTTCATCTGTTATACCCATGTCCCACCTGGCCACCAGTTAGTGTCCCAGCTGCTCCACTTCCCGTCCGGCTCCTACTAATAACCTCACACGGGCAGCAGAGGGTGAGCCAGGCATTTGGGCACCAGCACCTCTGTGGATGAGCTGAGTGAAGCCTGGCTTCAGGCTGGTTCAGCTCTGATTTTGTGACCGTGTGGGGGTAAGTCAGCTGATAGGAGATCTCTTCCTCTCTCCCTAACTGATTTTCAAAATGAATGAATATCCTTTTTTTTTTTTTTAACAGTTTTAGGCTACTGCTTTAACAGAAAGGAAAGGCTACATAGAAAAGAATTCAAGTACAACCTGAGCCATCACTGGAGAGACACTGGAGGCCTCTAATATTTTAGTGTTTATTTATGATCATCTATTTCTTTTTCACATTTGTTTGTTTTTATTAGAAAAGCAGATCTACAAAGAGAAGGAGAGACAAATTTTCCATTTGCTGGTTCATTCCCCAAGTGACCACCATGACCAGAACTGAGCCAGGAGCTTCTTCCAGGTCTCCCACGCAGGTGCAGGGTCCCAAGGCTTTGGGCCATCCTCCACTGCTTTTCCCAGGCCACAGGCAGGGAGCTGGATGGGAAGTAGAGCAGCGTGAAGCTGCTGCCTGGGACACCTGCATCACCTAGCAGGGGAATGGATTGGTGCCCGACTCTACTTCTGATTCCAGTTTCTAGCTGGTGCCCACCCTGGGAGGCAGCAGATGATGGCTCATGTGTCCGGATGCCTGCCTAGCAGAAGGCTCAGACCGAGCTCCTGATACCTGGTTGCCTGCTGGCCGTGTCCTGACTGTCGCTGGCATTCGGTAAGTGAACCAGAGGATGAAAGGTGTCTGCCTGCCTGCCTGTGTCTCTGATTTTCAAATAAAATGTGTCAATATATAATGTTAAAAACTGAAATGTTCTACCCATCAGATTATGTTAAGTTATATTCCAAGAGTGGAAGACTTGTTTGCAGCTTAAATAGTTCTGTGTCGTAGAAATACATGAAACGCATTTTTGAGAGAGCCTTAAAGTCTAGAAATAATAGAAAGGTTCAGACATCAAAGAAAGTATCTCAGGCCCACTCAGGACCTCAAGATGTCTTAAAAACACAAACTGTATAGCCAGATTTATTGAGCACACTGTAATTAAATCAGAATCAAGCAGAAGGATAGCAGCAGCAGCAGCAGCAGATGGAAGAAAGGGAGAGAGGAGGAAGGAAAGAAGGAACTGTGTCCTTTGGAGAACTCCACGGACACTGGCAGTTGTGCTGAAAAGGGCTGTGGAGCTGGAGTCCAGTGGCTGGCCCTGATTACACCTCAGTCCTGTTGGTGTGTTTGATTTGCAGGCGCTCTCTGCACCCCTCCCTTGTCTGCATTGTGGTGTTCATCACAAAGCAAGGAATCCTAAAGCAAGCATCCAGACCAAACACCTGCAAGTCCCCATCCAGAGCTGCAGTCGGTCCCAGCCTTGTTTTAAGACCTGGGGAGCTTGACCGACCCAGACGCTAGAGAGAGGCCAACGGGCTTGCTGGTAGAGGAGATCCTAGGACTCCTAACCCCCTAAGGGAAAATGCGAGGTCTGAGCCTGCTGGTCTTCCCTCCCAGCAGCGGACAGCAGGCAGCCCCAGGTCCCTTACCCGGGCCAGTCACTCTGTGGAGCTCCTCTGCCAGGAGACGCTGGTTGATGGCCCGCAGGACCTGCAGGGTCAGCCGCACAGCGTACTCCTTCCCGTAGTAGGTGACCAGCAGCGTGGCCAGCTCCACTGGCCTGGCCATCTGCAGCTGGCCCCGGGGAATCCGGGAGTGCTCTTTTTCCAGGCTGATGTTTTGCAGCTTAAACTTGAACTTCTCAAGGTCATAGGGCACCAGGTCCTCCAGGGTGTTCAGCAGGTGATCACTCAGAGTCCTGGCCATGGTGGTGAGTAGGAGAGTATGAGCCAGCCAGCTGCCTCCTGGCAGGAAAATAACCCGTCTGTCCCAGCAGCCCCAAGGGCAGGCAATAAGAGGCAGCTTGTGAAATAACGGAAAAGACACAGGAAATGCTTGATGCTATGGTTAGAGCTGAGACACCGTTCAGGGTGTGTCACTACCAGCTCCTATTCTCTGACTCAGAGGGTTTTCCAGCTGGGGAGGCTTTGTGCCTTGCAAGGCATGTGCCCCCTCCCTATAACCCAGCTGTTAGCCCACACTGAGCCAGGGAGAAGTGAGGGAGGCTCTGCGATTGGATTTCAGATCGAACACCCACTGCCACTGCCTCATGGATGCATACTGTCTCCACACCAGAAAGCACAATGTCCTCCTGCAAACTTGAGATTTTGTGGAGCCTCCGAGCCAACGGTTGGGCGAGGTAGGGGGTAGCAGTGCCCTCAGCCCCACAAGCTTTCCCTCTTCCCTGACCAGGGAGGCAGGGCACTGCCAGGGCACGTGCTGTGATGTCACCCCTGGGGCTGCGCTGGAGCCTCTCGAGACCTGGCTGAGCGGTTCAGCTGCTGCTTGTGAGGTCTGTGTCCTGTCTCCGACTGCTTGGGTGCGTGTCAGGCCTGACGCTGCTCCCGATTCCAGATTTAGTTCCTGTGTGCCCTGGAAGGCAGTGGTAATAGTTCGAGTCACTGGATTCCTACCACCCCAGTGTGAGACCTGCATTGAGTTCCTGGCAAGGCTCCTTCCTGGCCTGGCCCTTTCACAGGCATGCAGCTGTGAGACAGCAGACAGAGGCCAGGACTTGGACAAGCCATGTACCCCAAGGGGCACACTTATCAGGCTGCTGAATCTTTGCAGGCAGAACATCTGTTCTCATTCCAAAAGTTTAGGTCAATGATTATTAGCTAGTGGAGGTCTCGGATTTCTTTCTTAAAAGTAAACATATTGGGGCAGATGGAGGGTGAGCTTGTGTCATAGTGCAGTCTGTTGTTCTCTACTCCAGAGCAAATAGGAATTTCCCAAGAACTTGCAACTGGCTCTTTGTTTTCTCTCAACACTGTAAGTCTCTTTCACAAGGAAGCCAGGGGCAGACAGCACTGATATCCCTCTTTTTGTTTTTAAAGATTTATTTTATTTTCATTACAAAGTCAGATATACAGAGAGGAGGAGAGACAGTGAGGAAGATCTTCCATCTGATGATTAACTCCTCAAGTGAGCGCAATGGCTGGTGCTGCACCTATCCGAAGCTAGGAGCCAGGAATTTCTTCCATGTCTCCCACATGGATGCAGGGTCCCAAAGCTTTGGGCCATCCTCAACTGCTTCCCCAGGCCACAAGCAGGGAGCTGGATGGGAAGTGGAGCTTGATGGGATTAGAACCAGCACCCATATGGGATATTGGCACGTTCAAGGCGAGGACTTCAGCTACTAGGCCATGGCGCTGGGCCCACTGATATGACTTAACGGTCAAGCTAGCAATGAAGCATATTTAAAAGCTTTTTTTCTGATTATTGAGGAGTCCATGCTTTTAAATTCTCAAATGATGCAGAAATAATGCTGTAAAAGGTTGTTCTCAGTCTCTCTCCTTCAAATAATAGAAATAAAAACAGAAAAACAGGAATGGGGAGGAAAACAACAAGCAGGTCAAGGAGCAGCATCTCTCACACCTCTGAGGCCCGCCGCAGGCCCGGCCTGCCAGCCCCACTGTCCCTGGATGCCACCTCTTTACCATTGAGGCTCGGGTCAGGTACCACCCTGACCCCTTGCTGGACAAGCAGCCCTGTATGTGAGACTCTCTGGGCCTGGCCACCCTCAGGAGAAGGCTTTGGTAAGTTTTTGGTTGGTAGAATTTGCCTTCCTGTTGCACATGTTTTCTATTTTACCGAATATTCGGGCACACTGTGGATTTGGTTGGCAGCTGACCACATGCAGTCTCCCGGGCCCCAGTGAGAAGAAGGTGTCCAGACACAGTCTCCTTTCAGAACGTGGGTGTGGCCACGTGCGCATTGGTGGCGCAGACAGCAGGAGCGTGAACTGCTCAGATTAGCCTTGCAGGGACCATCGTAGGCATCAGGCTCGAGGGGCAGAAACCCAGTGCCTCCCAGGCAGCTGCTCATCGCCGGAGAGAGAAATGAGAGTGACCGGGATGCGAGTGGCTGTGGCGAGTTCTTAGAACCCCACTGCACAGGAAGCTACTCTGAGCCGTGACGAAAGCACCGTCGGCAGCATGGCCTTGGGAATGGAGCTTTCCTCCTGACTCAGGACATTCTGCAATGGCAGTAGCACCTTTCACAACAGGGTCTTCTGGGAGGTCTGAGTCAAGAGGGGCTCACCGAACTTACACAACTTTTTAATTTGTTGGTGCTGTAATGATTTTTTAAGAGTTATTTTATTTGGAAGCCAAAGTTATGGTGAGAGGGATAGAGAGAGAGGTCTTTCATCCACTGATTCACTCCCTAAGTGGCCACAATGGACTGAGCTGAGCTGTTCCAAAGCTGGAAGCCAGGAGCTTCTTCCTCGTCTCCCACGTGAGTACAGGAACTCAAGCACTTGGGCCATCCTCTATTGCCTTCCCAGACCATAAGCATGGAGCTGGATCAGAAGTGGAACATCTGGGATTCTAACTGGCACCCATATAGGATGCCCATACCAGAGGCAAATTGGCATGCTATGCCACCACACTGGCCCTGCTGTAGTGATTCTTTAAAATCAAAACGTGATAATAGCATAGAGCCTTTGTGATATATTTGTTGAAAATTATTTATTTAAAATATTTAGATTATTTATTTAAAAGGTGGTAGGGAGGAAGAAGGGGTCAGAGGAGAGAGAATGATCCTCCAGCCATTGTTGCACATCTCCTCCCCGCCCCAACAAATGCCTGAGGCTGCCTCCCAGGGTGCACATCTGCAGGAAGCCTGCACCAGAGGCAAAGCTGGGGCGGAACTGACACTCCAGTGAAGGACGTGGGTGTCCCATGTGGCCAAGGCGCGTCTCCCTCCTGCTGTGTTTTCAGCAAGCATGCACTGGGGCTGCTCCTCTCTCTTGTGCTCTGCCAGAAGCTGAGTGATCCTGTTTGCGGGCTCCATTGTAAACCCACGTCAGCACAGCAGCTGCAGGTGTCCACTCCCTTCTTATTCCCCAGTAATGCACAGTTCTAGTACCACAATTTGTACTCCACTTCTGGCTCACCAATGGCTTCACTGCCTATGGCATTTCTTTCTGCATCATTTGGCATTTTAAAAAAATGAGTATTGGGGCTCCAACTCCCTGCTAATGGCTTGGGAAAAGCATCAGTAGTTGACCCAAATGCTTGGTCCCCTGCTACCCACATAGGAGACCCCGATGAAGCTCCTGGCTTGTGTCCTGCCCAGCTGATGGCCATTATGGCCTTCTGAAGAATGAAGCAAAGGATGAAAGATCTCTGTGTCTCTTCCTTTCTCTGTAACTCAGACTTTTAAATAAATATTTCAAAAAACGAGCATTATGTTGCTTTTATAATAAAATACAGGGTTTTTTTTTAAGTCTTGTAACTAGCTTAGGCTCCAAGGGGATGTCAGTCCCTAGTCCCTAAAGCCACTGTGATGAAGGAGATTTGTGGTGTTTGAATGTGACACTGGTTTTGAAGGAATGGGAAGAATTGTGGGGAAGCTCGTGGGAGACTCCCTGTGCTGATCTGGAGTTGTTCCAGTTGTTCTCCGTGACCCAGATTCCATTCCCTACCCCTGCTTGCCTCCATTGTATTTTTTCTACTCTATTTAATTTTTAAAAGATTTATTTATTTTTATTAGAAAGACAGATATACAGAGAGGAAAATTTTCCATTTGATGATTCACTCCCCAAGTGACCATAATGGCCAGAACTACACTGATCTGAAGCCAGGAGCCAGGAACTTCTTTTGGGTCTTCCATGAGGGTGGCAAGGTCCCAAGGCTTTGGGCCATCCTTGACTGCTTTCCTAGTTCACAAGCAGGGAGCTGGATGGGAAACAGGACTGGGATTAGACTGGGATTAGAACCAGCACCCATATGGGATCCTGGCACATGCAAGGCAAGGATTTTGTCACTAGACTACCTCACCAGACCCACATGATAAATAAATAATTTAAGGCCACCAGATTGTTACACCATTTTGACACTGTTAGATTTGCCACTCGCCAAAATGTTAAATTCGCCAGCCACCAGGCAAAGAATAATTCAGCCACATATGTGAAAAGAATTTAGATGGCCTTTATTTCAGGGAGCCACAGTCACGGGCTTCCCTTCCCCGTGCCGCAGGAAAGACAGACGTGGAGCTGCAGAGGAAGAAGAGCACGAAAGAGACAGGGAAGGGGCCCTTTTAAACTCTCCTTGGCACGGAAGTCAAGATGGGGGTCGCCTCGGCCTTTATTGGTGGCGGGGTATGGGTCTGTGCCCCTCATTGGTTCAGTGGTGGTCTCACCACCTGAGGGGCCCACCAGAATTCTGCCATCCATTCAGAGTTTGGTTGGAGGCAAACCCCACCGTTCTCCGGCCACTGTGGTAGCCATGAGACAGCTGTTTCGACACATCAATATTTTCAGCTTTCTTTATGAGAAGTAGAAAGTGGAGTGAGAGTGAGAATGCGATGAGAGAGAGCAAAAGAGAGAGAAAACAAGCTAGCTCTTACTCTACTGACTCACTCCCCAAATGACTGCAATAATGCCAAGCCAGGGACTCAAGTTGGAGCCAGAAACTACCCAGCTCTCTGACATCAGTGGCGGGAATCCAAACACTGGAGCCTGGTTGCTTGATTCCTGGGTGTGGATCTGCAGGAAACTTGCAGTGGGAGCATAGCCAGGACTTCAACTCAGGCATCTAATGCAGGACCCAGACATCCCAACATGCTGCCTGACCACTAGGCCAAATACTTGCCCATTGTGACTTGCTAGAACCCCTAGGCACAAAAAAAAAAAAAAAAAAAAAAAAAAAAAAAAAATTAGACTTCATCCGTTAAAGAAAATCATTAACCTTCTTGGATCTAAAGTTTTGACTTGCCCAATACTGAGCAGGCCATAATTTAAATGCTCAAGTGAAAACTGAAGTTGAGGTCATATCCCAGCTGATGCATAAATTATACATGACCAGGTCACTGCTCACCCCGCAGACAGCTGTTGCATAATTCTGGGCAAAGCATTTGGTGGTAGAGCCTAGAAATTAATCTATGATCGTTCACCTCTCAAAATATTAAATTTCTTTCTTTTTAAAAATTTTATTGAAAAGGCAGATAAGAGAGAAAGATCTTCTATCTGCTGGTTCACTCCCCAAGCGGCAACAAAAACTGGAGCTGAGCTGATCCGAAGCCAGGAGCCAGGAGCTTCTTCTGGGTCTCCCACGTAGATGCAGGGTCCCAAAGCTTTGGGCCATCCTCCACTGCTTTCCCAGGGCACCAGCAGGAAGCTGGATGGGAGGTGGAGCAGCTGAGATTAGAACCAGTGTCCACATGGGATGGCAGCACATGCAAAGTGAGGATTTAACTACTAGGCTACCTTATCAGGCTCTCAAATTTCTTTCTTAAAATTATTATTTTTTTTTTTATTGGAAAGGCAGATATACAGAGAGGAGAGACAGAGAGGAAGATCTTCCGTCCGATGATTCACTTCCCAAGTGACCGCAACGGCTGATACTATGCCGATCCGAAGCCAGGAGCCTCTTCCTGGTCTCCCACATGGGTGCAGGGTCCCAAAGCTTTGGGCCATCCTCGACTGCTTTCCCAGGCCACAGGCAGGGAGCTGGAAGGGAAGCGGGGCTGCCGGGATAGAACCAGCGCCCATATGGGATCCCCGGGCGTGCAAGGCAAGGACCTTAACCACTTGCCCCACCGCGCCGGGCCCTCTTTCTTAAAATTAAACAGAATGGGGCCCAGCGCGGTAATCTAGTGACCAAATTCCTTACCTTGCCTTGAATGCGCAGGGATACCAAATGTGTGCCCATGCTAATCCCAGCAGCTCCACTTCCATCCAGCTTCCTGCTTGTGGCCTGGGAAAGCAGTAGAGGACGGCCCAAAGCTTTGGGAACCTGTACCCGCATGGGAGACTGGGAAAAAGCTTCTGGCTCCTGGCTTTGGATCAGCATAGTTCCAGCCCTTATGGTCATTTGGGAGTGAATCAATGGATGGAAGATCTTTCTCTCTGTTTTTCCTCCTCTGTATATCTTTCCAATAAATATAAGTAAATCTTAAAAAAAAAATCCTCTACCACTTCTTTAAGAAGGGCGGTGGTGTATAGATACTGTAGAAGTTACCATGGAAATGATAATAAGAAACTGGATATGAAGGGGAGCAGACGATGCAAACTGGCACTCAGGTGACAGTGTTACCAGCGCTGGAAGTGGCAGCTATCCCCCTCTTTGGTATTTTATTTTATAGTTTGGTCTTTCAAATAGGGCACTTGAGGAGGATCTTGTTGGGAGAGGGGGCCACTGCTTTACTGAGCAGACTTCTACGGACGAGAGTGCGAAGCCAGGGCTGGTGTCTGCTTGGGGTCTGGGAAGCGAGGCAGCCGGCGAGGGGCCGCAGGAGTGGTTGGCAGGGGTCGGGGCATATCCGGGTCAGAACAAGAGGACGCCCAGTCTTTTACTGAGGTGAGGGGACTTGGGAAAGTTGGGGTGAAGCACTCATCTGACTCAGGCAGGGGAAGAGAAATAATGGTTTCCGCAGGAGGAAGGAGTCTCTGCCCACGCATGGCACTGCCCACAAGAGACCCGCCTTTTCAACATTGTGACAGATGCAGCAGGCTCCATAAATGCGATCCAGGAGACTGTCCAATATACCTAGACACGCAGGAAAAGTGCAGGTTCTTTTGACCCTCAACTTTATTCATTTTTTTCTTACGTTTCTTTGGTGGGGGGGATCAATATCTCTAGGTTTTTGGGAATACATTCGCCGACTGCCCACAAGCTTACAAACCCCAGCGGCTCAGCGTCTGGGAGACACCCCACTCTTGGAGGTCCCCCTTTGGCCACCCGGTCCTCGCCCCGTGCTCCAGAATTGCCAAGCTTCTCCGCATTTTGAAACTACTTGTTTATGAGTGGAAGCCGCCTGAAGTGGCGGAAAACACGATATTGACAGGCAGCAGCTGTGAGAAAGGGGCGGGTTTCCCACCTTCCCGCTTCCGTTTCCGGCCTGTCGAAGGGTTCCCTGGGGGAAATCGGAGAAGGTCCCCAAAGCGGCGCAGCCCTCAGTGTCCCCTAGGTCCTCTGCAAGGATGGGCGCAGGACGCGCCCGGCACAGCGTCCCCCTCAGGTCCGCCTCCGCGGCGGGACTCGGTCCCACGCCCCCGCGGCACCTCCCAGGGCCAGCGCCCGCAGAGCCGCCAGGAGAGGACGATGGAAAAAGGGGAAGCCTTGTGGCTTGCCCAACGCCCACTGGCTTCTGGGAAACGGCCCGCCCACTCGCGTCACAAAGCCCAGAACCACATCTCCCAGAGGCCCCCGGGGGAGCACCGAACCCACTGGAGGCGAATGCTTGGCAGGGTCTCCCGGAGGGCGCTGGCCGCTGATCCGATTGCCAGCCTTCGCGGTGCTCGCAACCGCACAGGGAGCCCACACGTCGACTGCGGGGGCTGCGGCGGCGTCTCACATAGGTGGAAACAAGAGTGCAAACCTAGACTCCAGAGATCCTACCTCCACCCTCAGAGCTCAGCCACCCCGGCTGAAGACCAGAGGTTAAGCCTTGGGAGGGATAAAGGGTAGCAGCAGGGAGGACGCCAAGGAAGCTTCTAGAATGGTGGGTGTGCTCACTGTGGCACTCCCCAGGCCAGATACCTATGAAGTGGCAAGATGTAAAGACTGAAAGCAGCCTCTTTTAGTAACCAGGAGACCTGGGGTTCCCTGTCAGAGAACCAGGGGGCTGGCACTGTGGCTAAGCAAGCTAATCCAACCACCTGCAAATGCTGGCATCTAATATGTCAGTTTGTGTCCTGGCTGCTCCATTTTGATCCAGCTCCCAGCTTGTGGCCCCAAGTCCTGACTCCTTGCACCCATTTGGGAGATCCAGAAGAAGCTCCTGACTCCTGGCTTTGGATAGGCTCAGCTCTAGTTGTTGCAGCCATTTGGGAGGGAACCATGGGCGGAAGATTTTTCTCTCTCTCCTCCGTAGATCTGCCTTTCCAATAAAAATAAATTGTAAATAAAAGGCAGTACCAATAGCGGTCACAAGAAGGCACGGTTTTCACCAGTGCTGTAAGGGAACAGTTGTTCGGAGAAATCATGCAAGGTCCTAATCCACTTTCTAGAAACACAGACCTTCCGCAATGTAGTGTACGATTTTCAAGAGCTTCTGTCATCTCCAAATCTATCCACAGAAACTTTGGCTCTGTGCTGGCTACGATGGTCTCCAGCACTAACTCCATTTTGAGTGCTCAGTAGCCACCGTCATGCAGTTCTTCTGGACAGTGCCTGCGCTAAAAGTCCAGCGTTCTCAGGCTAAGATCCCTAGACCTTCATGAATCCACGTAGATCTGCTACTAGCCTGAAATTACAACCAAATGCCAGCTATTGTGTCACCCGGATATGGGTAGACCAGCCTCCAAAAAGTAAAAAATGAAATGAAATGCAGTACTCTGGGATAATCCTGAAAGTTCATCTATCCAAGTAAGCACGCATCAATAGTCTAACATTAAAGGGACTTTGGAGAACAAGTGATGCCGGCCAGGACCCTTTCCCGGCAGGAGTCGCTGGCCCCGTGGCACACCCGGCTGCCTCCCCCTGTGCCCAGCGGGGTGAGGCCGGGCGCGGCCCCGGAGTGGACGGAAACTGTCAGGGACTTCCATGGGGACTGCCATGGAGAACTGGCCAGCGGCGCATAACCACTCGGGGGTCCGGATTCCCTCCACCCCGATGCGCTGACGCAGTGAACTGAGGACGGTCATTTTAATAAGCTTTTGTTTGGGACTCCTGATCCCTGTCATCCTCCGGCCACAGCTTCCTTCCCTCCCTCCCTCTAGCCCATGTGGGGATCGGCGGCCCGGTCCGTCTCCTCACAGTCTTCCATCCCAGGACTTCCAGTACTCGCCTCACGGCCCCGCCTCTTGCCTACAATTGGCCCCTCGTTCGTCCCGCCCCTTCGGCAGGTCTTCCCTTCTTATTAGTCGTCGGTGCGTCCGCAGCGAGACCTGATCCAATGGGCGCTGGAGTGACCCGGAAGTTGGGCCGGAGGAGGGTCTGTTGGCTTTTGGACACAGGCAGGAACTTCCGGCTCGAGGGCCGAGGCTGGAGAGTGTCCGGCACTTGATGAGGAACACATTCTTCGAGTTTTACCTCAGGAAGGTCTGGCCAAGGCAGGTCGAGGGGCTGGGCGGCGGCTCCCAGGACAGGCCGAGGTCGAAGCGCTGGAGCTAGCCGCGCCGCTGCCGCGCCCGGGGTCCTGTGCCGGGACTCGGAGCCCCTGGCCCGGACGCTCCTGCCTAGGCTGTCCACCCTCGGTAGCGGCCGGAGCGGGCACAGCCGGTCCAGAGGGCCCAGCTGCCCGGGGTCCTGACGATGGCTTCGGACACGATCTCTCAGGAACGGGAAGGGCTGCTGATCGTGAAGCTGGAGGAGGACTGCGCCTGGAGCCAGGAGCTGCCCCCCGCTGACCCGGCGCCCAGCCCAGAGGCCTCCCACCTGCGTTTCAGAGGCTTCCGTTTCCAGGAGGCTGCCGGCCCCCGGGAAGCCCTCAGCCGGCTCCAGGAGCTGTGCCACGGCTGGCTGCGACCGGAGCTGCGCACCAAGGAGCAGATCCTGGAGCTGCTGGTGCTCGAGCAGTTTCTGACCATCCTGCCCCGGGAGATCCAGGCCCGCGTGCAGGAGTTACACCCGGAGAGCGGGGAAGAAGCCGTGACCCTGGTGGAGGACATGCAGAGAGAGCTCGGGAGGCTGAGGCACCAGGTGAGATCCCCGAGCAAGTTTACCTGGTTCCCCTGAGTCTTACCGTTGGAATGGACCTTTGTGTGGTTAATTCTGGAATCCTCATTCCCTAGATTTTGTCCCCAATGAGCAGAGGGAGTAGGAGTGGGGCCCTGTTTCCATGCAGAGGCAGTACGTCTCTGAATCACCAGGGTTAAGTCCTCTCTGGCGCTTTGTGATTTTGGCGAGGTACTTGTAATTAATAATCTTTAGCCGTTATTTTAGGATCAAAATGCTTTCTGCAGAACTGAACTTTGGGAAAGCATGGTAGTGAGACCCCCTAAGGATCACCCTAGTGTCGCCAAATAGCAATAAAAGTGTGTAGAAAAGGTGGAGGAGAGCCAGAGAGAATGAGGTGTGTTGGAAGAGCTGCGCGGGTAGGTGTGCCCCTCGGGAGTGAGCCTTCCCTCTGACCGGAGCAGCCCGCTGGGTTCTCACAGACCCACGTGGGGTCAGCGTCTTGGGTCTCACTGGGTCCTCAGCAGAAGGCTTGCTCTCAGCGCCCTGTACTGGTTCCCTTCCCTCTGGCCCTGTTGTGATGATAAGTGATGTGGGTTGGTTCCCAGGTCACAAACCGTGGGCGGGGAACAGAAGTACTTTTGGAGGAGCCTTTGCCTCTGGAAACAGCCCGAGAGTCACCGAGCTTCAAGTTGGAGCCCCTGGAGACTGAGCGAAGCCCTGGCCCCAGGCTGCAGGAGCTGCTAGGTCCCAGCCCCACAGGGGACCCCCAGGCTGTAAAGGAGAGGGGTGAGGAACAGTTATTTGGGCGAATGGGAGGGAGGAGGGGCTTGGGGTTGCCCCTGACACTGGAAGGGTGTAGCACAGGTGCCAAGGAGAAGGACTTTGTGAATTTGAAGTCCTTAGAGCTGGAGTGCAAGACCCAGAAGTGGTGGTGTGGGGTTTTGGGGGGAATTGGGAAGGGGAAGATCTTGATCAAGCCCCATTTGTATGCAGAACAGAAGATATTCAGAGCCAGATAAATGCCAGGGCTGTGGAGTGCTGTTGGCCAGCCAGCTAGGAAGAGTGCTGGCTTTGGGTATCAGTACTACGCCTCTGTTGCCATCGCTGAGATACTGTGCTACAATAACCATTGGGTGGCCAAGAGTTAGGATCGCCATTCTCATTGTGATTTCTGTCACCTTCAGCATTATCTGCTCCCTGGCTTTCTCTCTTTCCTCCTGAAGGGAACCTGGAAGACAAGGCTGTGACTGGGCCCCAGGTGATGTGGAAGTTCCCATTGTCTTCTCCCAGCACCCTTCTTCCTTCCCTTGGGTGGGTAGGGCCCTTCTGCCACTTGGAGGGCCCACTTTCCCTCAAAAGTGTCTCCCTGCCTTCTGTGTCTTTTCCACTACTCACTTGTAAGCCTGGCACCCCTCTTCCCCAAAATATGTGTCCTTGGTACCCCTGGGGTTTGTCCCTTTAACCATGACTCAGCTTGAATTGTTCTTGTTGCATTCGGGGCTAAAAGAAATCTTGTGCTGTTTCAGTTGCCTGAGAGCTTAGAGAATGTGGCAGTGTTCATGTCCCCGGAGGAATGGGGACATCGGGATCCTAGTAAGAGCGCCTTCTCCAGGGACCTGGTGCAGGAGAATTGTAAGGTGGTGAATTCACTGGGTAAGGATTCTTCTCTCTCTTTTTCTTTCTTTCATTCTTTTCTTCTATCTTTTTGCTTGAAATGCAGAGAGACAGGGAAAGATACGTCTTCCGTTGACTGGTTCTTTCCCTGGATGGATGCAAGCTCAAGGCCTGGGCCATGCCAAAGGCAGGAGTCAGGAGCTCCCTCTGGCCTCCAGCGTTGGGGGCAGGCGCTCCGAGTCTCAGGATGCCTAGACCTCTCCTTTTCCTTCCTCGCAGTTGTATGACCCTCTCTGAACTCTCTTCTGTTTCCTGTGCTTCATTAGCATTTCCAGTATATTCCATAAGGAGAAAACTTTCAGGGGCACAGCCACCAACCTTCAAATTTAGCAGTTGTCAGAGCCATAGACATTCAGAAAGGGTGATCCTGTAGTCCTAGAGGAATAGTCAGTTTGATGTTGAATTCAGGAAACCCTTGTAGAAGTTTTGAAATGCTATTTTTTGCCCAGAATAGGCCAAACATACATTAGAAAGCATCTGTTTGTTGAAGTATTATGCAGAGATTAACAATGATGCCTGTAAAACATGACGAACAGGCTGGGGCCTGGCGTGGTAGCCTAATGGCTAAAGTCCTCGCCTTACAGGAGGACTTTGCCTTTCCAATTAAAAAATATTTAAATAAATGACAAAATAGATAATTAAGTTTGAACAGTGGGCATATAAAGACAAAAATTTATTGAATAGCTCTCAGCCTTTAGTATGTATGAACATCGTCACAATGAAAGTGGGAGAAAGTGAAAACATGACAGAGAGCCAGCTGTGCATTGTGGTTAAATGCACGCAGTAGCGTAGGCTGAGGCACACACCTGTGGAAAGTCACACTGCACTCTGTTTTCCTCTTTCAGGTTTGTGCAACGAGAATGCCAGCCAGACTCACTTGGCACAACTGCTAAGAATAGTGTACATATATTTCCAAGAAACATTGCTAGGCTTCCTGAGCATTCCGTATCTTTGCACTGCCGACATGGGACAAGACTCTCTCTGTTTTCCTTGCTTGGTATAGGAAAGTGGTGACACAGAAAATCTGTTTCTTTCCTTATGAACAGAGTCACACATTCCCAGTCAGGAAGCCCTAGGCACCCAGGTGGACCAGGGAAGAAAGCCACGGGACCCCGGCATCCAGGCATGCAAGGAGGCCCTGGGCCCCCGAAGCCCAGCTCCAGGTAAGGCACTCAGCTCAGCAGGCCCTGCAGGGCCTCTGAGGCCGAGAGAGAGGCATTTGAGCGTGGGTGCAGGACCAGCCCTCCACCTCTGCCAGTGAGGCCCATGAATCCTGTGTGGCCACTGCCTGTGCTGTCCAGCAAGGCAGGTGAGGCACAGACTGCAGGCTGCAAGGAGGCTTGCTCTTTGGGGACTACTTGCCTCATACTGTTCTCAGCCCTGCTCCACCCTACCCATTGTGTGGGGTAGAAGTCAGAGGCTTAGTAGCAAGGGCCATGGACGCACCAGGGAGAGAATTCCAAGACTGTTTGAGCTCTAAGTCTTGAAAGATGCCCCCGTGCCTCACCTGGAGGCCTCCGGAGCATCTTACCTTAAGGGAGGATGGGAGACTGAGGCAGAACTAGCTTTTCTGGGATTCTGGCCTGACATGCCTTGGCAGTTCATCCTGACTTTATTTTCTGCAGTGTCGAACAATGTATGACTTTGGTTTCTTTTTGGCTGCAGGGGAGGAGAAATTTGAGAAGCCAGAAGAAAGTACTCAGTTTAATTCCCCTGAGAACACACACCCTCAGGCGCTGCTGCCAGGCCAGGCCAGAAGTGAGGTGCCCTGGAGTCCTGAGCAAGGAAGACCTCATGACAGGGCAGACTGGCGCTGGGAGCCTCCCTCAGAGGCCACAGCGGAACAGGCGTTGGTGGGAACCACAAGTTACAGAGAACTGGGGCAATCCAAGGAAGCACAGCCGAAGAAGCTCCATTTGTGTCCCTTGTGTGGGAAGAACTTCTCCAACAACTCAAACCTAATTAGGCACCAGCGAATTCATGCTGCGGAAAGACTATGTGTGGGTGTGGACTGTGGTGAAGTTTATGCTGGGAACCCTCACTTCCTGTCCCTGCAGTGGGCACACCTTGGGGAGGAGGCCCATAAGTGCCTCGAATGTGGCAAATGCTTTAGTCAGAATACTCACTTGACCCGCCATCAGCGTACCCACACAGGTGAGAAACCTTATCAGTGTAACATCTGTGGAAAAAGCTTCTCGTGCAACTCCAACCTCCACAGGCACCAGAGAACACACACCGGGGAAAAGCCGTACAAGTGTCCTGAGTGCGGGGAGATCTTTGCCCATAGCTCTAACCTCCTTCGGCACCAGAGAATTCATACAGGAGAGAGACCCTATAAGTGTACTGAGTGTGGGAAAAGTTTCTCCAGGAGTTCACACCTTGTCATTCATGAAAGAACTCATGAGAGAGAGAGACTTTACCCCTTCACCGAGTGTGGGGAAGCCAGGAATGATAGCACCCCTTTTCTTACGAACCACGGGACCCCCAAGGCAGAGAAGAAACTGTTTGAGTGTTTAACCTGTGGGAAAAGCTTCCGGCAGGGTATGCACCTCACAAGACATCAGAGGACACACACAGGAGAGAAACCATACAAATGTACCCTTTGTGGGGAGAACTTCTCTCACAGGTCTAACCTAATCAGGCACCAGAGGATTCACACAGGAGAGAAGCCATACACCTGTCATGAATGTGGAGACAGCTTCTCTCACAGTTCCAACCGGATTCGGCATCTGAGAACCCACACAGGAGAAAGACCCTATAAATGTTCTGAATGTGGAGAGAGCTTCTCTCGGAGTTCACGCCTCATGAGTCATCAGAGGACTCACACCGGCTAGGTAGAGAGGTGTTTCTCTTTGCCCCATTCGGTGGCATGTTCAGAAGGGCCTGTTGTCTAAAGCTGGGATTCCTTGCTCAGCCACCCAGACGTGCACTTCTGCATTTTCCAGGTGATTAACATCAATGGGGAGTGTAGTGTGAGAGAGGCACAGAGGCTGCAAAGGATTGGTATGGAACTGAAGCAGCTGTGTCTGCGCTGCTAAAGACGGAAGTCTGAGGGAACCTGCTCGAAGCAGAGGTCGCTGTGTGTCTGGCCTGTCCCAAGGTGTGCTGCCTCTCCTGGTGTATTTTGCCAAGATGTGATTTGGGTACCTACCTTATTGTGTCTGATGTTTGTCCCAAAAGCTGTGGAAACACATCTTTCTGTTACTACTTTCTGATTTGGGACATTGAGTAGGAGTATTTGGGCCCCTGGGGACTGGGAAGCCGGTGAAGAGGGGCCAGGTCTCGTAGAGCTCAACAGGAGACTGCTTGTGAGTTGCAGTGTTCCCAGAGGCCGTGGGCTGCATAGGTCAGCCACCACACCCCGCAAGGGCCCACAAGCACACCACACATGTAGATGTTACCTCAGACAAGCAGGGACCTATGGGACTTACAGCTTTTCAAGAAATTGGCAGTGGAGTTTGTGGTCTGGTTCCTCTTCCTTTGGCAAAGGTTCGCTCCCCCACCTTTGTCACAAGTGATCAACAGAGCTTTGGAGCCTTACTCCTGGGCAGTGTTCTCTGAAAGGTGAATTCCCTGGGAAACTTTGGAAATGGGGCTCCTAGGAAAATTAGTGACTGTGTCCTTCCTTGTAGAAAATGTTTGAATGGTAAATAAACATCTCCAGGAAACAAGGATGTGTGTGATGTTTCACTGGTTTGCACCCTGTGGCTAATCTGCCTCTCCTCTACCGTGCTCCCAGCACCTGCTTTCTCTTTGTAGACCTGCTAGATTGATGAGGAATGCTCTGACAAAGGTGGCAATAGCTGGGCTGAGGCGGGATGTCGGCTGGCTGGGGCTGTGATAACAGAATCAAGCTAAATGGAAACTCGGGGCGATGTTGAGTTAGGGTCTCAAAAGTATTCTTTCCGTCTGATTTATAGCAGTAAAAATATTTTTGCTGGGCCCAGCGCATAGCCTAGTTGTTAAAGTCCTCTTCTTGCACGTGCCAGGATCCCGTATGGGTGCTGGTTTGTATCCTGGCAGCCCCACTTCCCATCCAGCTCCCTGCTTGTGGCCTGGGAAAGCAGTCAAGGATGGCCCAAAGCCTTGGGACCCTGCAGCTGTATGGCAGACCCAGAAGAGGCTCCTGGCTTCAGATCAGCTCAACTCCAGGCTTTGCGGCCACTTGGGGAATGAATTAGAGGACAGAAGATCTTCCTCTCTGAATATCCAACTTTCCAATAAAAATGAATAAATCTTTAAAATTGTTTTTTGCTTTAGTTAAAATGTTCTTGTGTAGTTGCTGAGAGAGCTGTCTCTTCTGGGTTTCTTTCTGATTGACAAGCAGTCTAAGATGGTACTGACAACTGTTGCAGGCAACAGCAAAGTTATGAGGAATCGGGAAAGGGAGGGAGACTACCAGAAATGTTCTAAGAGTAGAGTCTGATGCCAGGAACATTCATCTGGCCACAGCCTGGAGCAGTGTGCTGAGGAAAGATCCAGCAGTGTGTTGCTAACAGGCGAACACTGGGCTCAGGTGGCGAGATGAACCCTGGATATGTCCTGCTTCCCTTGCCTTCTCAAGCTTGCCTCAGGTTAGGGTGATTTTTTCCCTCTTTAGTTCATATAGCCATTTTTTAAAAATGTTTTTCTTATTTACCTCGTTCACAGGGGCAGTGATGAGTTTGGGATCATCAGTGATGGAGGCAGGGCCGAGAGCCAGTGGAGCAGGCAGAGCTGATGTGGCGACTGATGCCAGGTGTTGGGTGGAGGGGTGAAGTGGATATTTCTGCTGGACACTAAATAGTAAGTAACTTAAGTGAACTAAATTTCAACCTAGGTGAAGCCCCAGGTTAACTGCCATCCCAGGTCCCCCTCCCCCTGAATATTCCCCTCAGCGGATTCTATAACATGGTCATCTGGTGGTGGTCCTACTTGGAGAGTTGCAGTTTGAAGCTAGAACAGTGAGGATCTCCCCCCACACCTGCCCAACTTCTCCCTACCCTGACGTACCAGGAAATCATGTTGGGAACTGAAAAGGTCTTCTGGTGGGATCTTTCTCCCAATCCCCAGTGTGGCTTCCCCTTTAGCAAACTGGGCAGAGCTGGTCTCGGCCATGATTCTATTTAGTTATATTTTTATTTTATTTTACTGTGGAAATGTATATAAAAATCAAAAGGTAAATGTCTTCTGTTTGCTGGCTCATTCCCCAATGTCCATAACAGTCAAAATATCCAGGATGAAGCCAGGAGGCAGTCTCCTATGTGGGTGGAAGGGGCCCAAACACTTGTGCCGTCTTCTGGTTTTCCTTGCAGGGAAGTTGGATCAGAAGTAGAGCAGCTAGGACAGAAAGCCACACCTATGTGGGATGCTGGCATTACAGGTGGTAGCATTACCTGCCACACCACAATGCCAGCTGCCTATTCTCAGCCTTTTAATGAGCTATGTCACATAAAATATTGCATGTAGCACTATGCCTAGCGTATAGACGGTACTTGCTGTACCAGTGTGGGCTAACCTCTGTGGCATGGAGTCAGTGTGACACTGTACTGGTGGGAAGTGTGGGGAGCAGGCTTTGGAACATCTTCCTGCGTAGTCCTGTCCAGCAGCAGATCTGCCAGACTCCCCTGAGATCACAGTGGGATGACTGCTAGCACTTCTTACATTCCTGTTTGGATAAGACGGAATTGCTTTTTACATTGATAGTTTTACCCTGAAGCTATGAAAGAAAGCACTACAGGTTTTAGTGGCCTTTTCTGTCAAAGGGTAACTGATAGAAAGAGTGACCCCGGCACCATAAGTCCATGTTGGGTACAAAGGAGACCCGGGAGATGTAGACTGACAATGCCACAGGCACACACGAGCAGAGACGCAGGATACTCTGAGGAAGGCTTCAGGGCAGAATCAGTACCACATTGGGCAACGTGAAAAGGGCCTGCACAGTTTAACTTAAAGTAATAGGCCAGAGGACATGCCACAGGTGGGTAGGGACTGATAAGCATTGAGGAAGAGTTTGGGTGTCTGAGCAGTACAGTCTGAAGTTCAGCACCCTGCTAAGAGTTTACCACGGACACAGGTAGCAGCTGGTGGAATGAGCAGACTCTCCACTGTTTTAAGACATAAGCTTTGTACATTTTTTTAAAAAGATTAACTTATTTTTGTTGGAAACAATATGTAGAAAAGAGCTACTGAATTAATGTACAAGGTAAAGATCTCAGGAATAATTAGGTATATGTACACAGACAAAAAAGGAAGCCATTTACCACAATAATATTTTTTAAAAAAACTTAAAGAGCAAATTACATTTATAATTCCTATGGAAAAAAATGAAATGAAAGTTTGTTCCTAAATTAACTTTACTTAAATTATGAGTAAGTTTCCAGAGGGATGCTGTATTTCTGGTAGAGGCTTTCATCATTTTTTTTAGTGAGTTTTTAAACTTTCTCAATGTGTAGCACAACATAGTGAAAAATAACATTCGCACCTCTTGTCTTTCCAGCTCGCATTTGCTCTCACCCTTTGTTCTGCTTGGCTGCTATGACAAATCTCTCCAATTTCTTCTTATAATTTTTCCTAACTTTTAAAAGATTTATTTATTTATTTGTGTATTTTTATTGGAAAGTCAGTTTTATGGAGAGAGAAATGTCTTCCATCCTGTGGTTGACTCCACCAGTAGCCACAGTGGCCAGAGCTGAGCCTATCCGAAGCCAAAAGCCAGGAGCCTCTGCTGGGTCTCCCAAGTGGATGCAAGGTCCTAGCGCACTGGGTGTCCTCCACTGCCTTCCCAGCCCGCAAGCAGGGAGCTGGATGGGAAGTGGAGCAGCTGGGACACAAAGTGGCACCCATAAGGTGTGCAAGGTGAAGAGTTAGCCATTAGACCATTGCGTTGGGCCTCATAATAATATTATTATTAAGCAAACTTGTGGTATTGATATTCATGAAATTACCTCAATTCTTTGACCAGACTATTTGAGCGCAATGATGTCTTACTGTCACAGTGGCTGCAAGTGGCTGACTCAATAATTCCTCAACTGCTAAAGGGCGATAATGAGATCAATGGCAGCCTGAAACACCCGGCTGGTTGCGACTTAATAAATATTCGCGGAACCCCGTGCCAGGGGTTCTGAGCGGAGATCTCAGGTGCGGGGCCGGGGACCGCAACGGGGCGGCGCGGGATCCCGGGCCCACGCCACTTCCGCTTCCGGCCGCGGGCGCGCGGGCCTCGGACCGGCGCCAGGAGGGTCTCCGGGCAGGATCCGGAAGCAGGAGGCGTCGCCGGGGAGCGGGGTGCGCCCGGCTTCACGCCGCTCGGCGCGGTGCGGGCTCCTCGGGGCGGCAGCTGGCGGCGGAGCCCGAGGCGGCGGGAAAATGCCTCAGCGAGGTAACCGGGGAGCGGCTTCCTCTTTTGGTTTATTTGATTTCTTCGGAAAGCAGAGCGGTAGAGAAGGAGGGAGGAAGAGCCTCCATCCACTGCTCCACTCCCTCTTGGGCAGCTCTGGCCGGGCTGGTCCAAATCCAGGGGCCAGGCGCTTCCTCTTGCACCCAAGGGTGCAGCGTCCCAAGCACTTGAGCCATCCTCTACTGCTTTCCCGCGTCATTATCAGGGAGCTGGATCGAAAGTGGGGCCGCCGTGATTCGAACCAGCTGCAGTTATTCGTAGCCAGCAGCTTCGCGGTTTCTGGGGACTGGTAGGAACCTGTGGGGCCCAGTGGACTGGCTGGGCTCCATCTTTTACCCCACTCGCAGGTACATTCAGAGCCACAGCAGAAGCCCAAGTGCTTAGAGAGAGGCTGCTGGCGTGCTCTGCCATCAGCGCGCCTGTTGCAGGTGAACCCAAGTGCACATGGGCAGCCATGTCCAGGGGCCCAGGGCTTTGGGTGTCCTCTACTGCCTTCCCAGGCCACAAGCAGTGAGGTGGATGGGAATTGGAGCAGCTGGAACTTGAACCTGTGCCTATATAGGATGCTGGCCCTTGAAGGTGGAGAAATGACTAATTGAACCATGGTGCTGTGCCCTGCCTGAAAATTTAAGGGAAATTTTGGCATGTCCTTCTAATTCTTGCTTCCTAGATTTTCTTTACAGTGGAGATGAGATAGTAAGCCCACTGGTTATGTCTTTAGGTGATCTCCAAATTCCCGAATGGTTGAAATTTTCTCTTCTAACCAGCTTGTTGTAGATTTTTAAGAAAGGATTTATTTATTGGAAAAGCAGATTTACAGAAAGTTGAAGAAACTCAGAGGAAGACCTTCCATCTGCTGGTTCGTTCCCGATGGCTGCAACAGCTGGAGCTGAGCCAATCGGAAGCCAGGAGCTCTTCCGGGTCTCCCACGTGAACGCAAGCCATCGTCCGCTGCTTTCCTAAGCCACAAACAGGGAGCTGGATAGGAAGTGGAGTAGTGGGGACGCAAACCAGTACCCATACGGGATACTGGCACTAGAAGGTAGAGGATTAGCCAGCTCAGCCATTGCGCTAACCCCCAAATTTTAGTTGTATTTATTTTTACTTTAAAGATTGAGACACAAAGAGAGAGTGCTTCCATGGTTGTTTCTCCAAGTGACTGCAGTGGCCAGGGCTGGCCAGACAAAAACCGGGGGCCTTGGAACACGTTCCAGTGTTTCTGCATGTGTGGTAGAGGGTGTAAGTATTTACACTGTCATCTGCTGCTTTCCCAGGCACGTCAGTGGGCAGCTGGGTCCAAAGTGGACCAGCTGGAACACAAAGCAGTATGCCAGCTTCGCAGGTGTGGCTTAGCTGTTGTAGCACAATACTGGCTCCTGGGTCTTTATTTTCAAGGTTAGGTCATTGACTAGCACTTGACTGCTCTTACCTGTTGTAGTTAAACTGAGTAATACAAGAGAGAGACAAAGTGCCTGGCAGTTGATTTTTTTTCTTTTTTCAGATATACTTATTTTTTATTGCAAAGTCAGATATACAGAGAGGAGGAGAGACAAAAAGGAAGATCTCCCATCTGATGATCACTCTCCATGTGACCACAATGGTCAAAGCTGAGCTGAGCCAAAGCCAGGAGCCAGGAGTTTCTTCCAGGCCTCCCACACAGGTGCAGGGTCCCAAGGCTTTGGGCCGTCCGCGACTGCTTCAGATTGACACAGCACCGGCTGTTGCTGTCACTTGGGGAATGAACCATCCGATGGAAGATCTTCCTTTTTGTCTCTCCTCCTCTCTGTATATCTGATTTTCCAATAAAAACAAATAAATCTTTTAAAAAGATACTTATGTTTTACTTGAAAGTTAGAAAGACAGAGGAACAGATATACTTCCATCTGCTGAGTCATTCCTCATTGGCTCCAACAGCCAGAGGAGCTGGTCTGAAACTGGGAGCTAGGTCTCCCACGTGGGTGCAGGGTCCCAAGGCTTTGGGCTGTCCTCCACTGCTTTCCCAGGCCACAGGCAGGGAGCTGGATGGGAAGTGGAGCAGCTGGGTCTAGAACTGGTACCTATGTGTGGTGGCAGCACTGCAGATGGAAAATTAACATCCTAAACCACCATGCCAGGCCCCCAATTGATTTTTTTAAAAGACTGATTTATTTGAAAGGTAAAGTGACAGAAAGATCTTGGATCTGTTGACTTATTCTGCCAATGCCTGGATAAGACTGAAGTAAAATATCAGGGATTTCTTTTGTGTCCTCCACATGGAGGAACAGGAGCTCAGTGCTTCATTCATTGCCCTCTGCTTCCCAGGTGTATTAGCACGACACTAGATTTTAAGTGGAGTATCTGGGTCTTGAACTGACACTCTGAAATAGGATGTTGTTGTCATAAACAGTGGCTTACTTCCCTGTGGCACTACTGGCAGTTGATTTTTAGAGGGAAGGCTTTTTTTTTTTTACATTTTTTCTTTCACAATAAATACAAGATGTGGGGATCTGTTGCAGTGGCTCAATTGGCTAATCCTCCACCTTCAAGTGCCAGGATCCCATATAGGCGTTGGTTCATGTCCCAGCTGCTCCACTTCCCATCCAGCTCCCTGCTTGTGCCCTGGGAAAGCAGTAGAGGACAGCCCAAAGCCTTGGGACCCTGTGCCCGTGAGGGAGACCCAGAAGAAGCTCCTGGCTCCGCATCAGCTCAGCTCCAGCTGTTATGGCCATCTAGGGAGTGAGTCAGCAAATGGAAGATCTTTCTCTGACTCTCCTACCTTTTGTAAATCTGCCTTTCCAATAAAAATAAATCTACATAAATAAATACAAAACAATAAGGTTCATGTGAGTTTATTATTGATATACCTTTTTTTCTGCCCACAGTGCTCTTAGAAAAAAGATCCTTTCATTGAGTTTTGTAGCAGACCAGACAGGCTTCGATTGTCAAGGCTGGCATCAGTGTGCTGGACACAAGAGCCAGACTGTTAAAGCAGAATGATGGTGGTAGAAGTGAAGGTGGCTGAGCACCTTGATCCTGTTATCAGAGCTCTGTGGGAGACCAGGGGGCCTGGGACCAAGAGCTCCAGTCAGAGGGAAGACTCAGCTCCACAGAAAGACAGCCTCAGGCCTGAGAGTTCTTGCTGGCACTTCCGGAACTTCCGCTACCGGGAAGCAGCTGGACCCCGTGAGGCCGTCAGCCGACTTCAGGAATTATGTCGTCTGTGGCTCAGGCCAGACGTCCACTCCAAGGAGCAGATCTTGGAACTGCTGGTGTTAGAGCAGCTGTTGACCATCCTACCCAGAGAGATGCAGACCCAGATGCAGAAGCACCATCTGCAAGACCTCGAGGAGGCTGTGGTCCTGCTGGAACACTTGCAGAGAGAGGCTGGAAAGGCGAGGAGCTCGGTGAGAGGACACACTACTGACCTGGGCAGCGGGCAGGTTGAGGTTGGAGACACAGAGGTGGGGTAGTTCATTGCTAAACAAGGTGACTCATGGCATTGTTTTCTGGTCCTAGAGGACAGCTGAGGGGAGACTGAACTCATGGGCCCACAGCTAAAGTCACTCTAGGTTTCTGGGATCCTGGCAGAGATCGGCCTTAAAGAGAGTTGTTTGTTTTTGTGTGTATACTTTTTGGAGGCAGGATGGATGAGGGTGATGGGCCAAGTCCGCCTTGACCAACATTCAGAATCTTAGAAGCAAAAATAAGGGCAATAAAAAATTGGGATGGGCGGTGGCTGCAAGAAAGGGAGAGCACCTAGAGTCCAAAGTAAGGACAGTCCAGAAGGAAAGGTGAGCATCCAGGGAAGCCTGTAGGGACAAAGTGGAGAACGGGGAAGCTTGGAAAGAGGCAGCTGTGGGGAGATGCTGGGGAAAGGGTCCTTTTTGCGGGAGCCTGGGGGATGGTAGCTTGCCTTCTGGCTCCAGGCCTCCCAGGAAGCCAATTGTCCTCTTCTTTTTTCTTTTTTGCCTATTCCTGCTGTGTCCCCATTTTCCATGAAAACCTTTGGCTGTGGGGATCTGACTAACAGGAAACCTTTTTTATTCAGTTCCTTAATTTTTAGGGAAGGTTAGCAGATGAAAAAGTACTAAGGCAGGGATTTAAGAGAAAGGCTGACAGAGTGGCATGAGCCTCGGTGGCCTGCCTCTTCAGCCTGCTCCTGCTGTCCTGAGCTGGGTTGCATGCTGTGTTGTAGGGTCAGTAGCTACAGCCTTTTGCCTTTCGATTTCTCCAGATTGGTGGAGAGTTCTTTGTGGGACATTAGTGGGCCAGTTTGTTCAAATTCTTTGGTCACTGTGTGCAGTTTCCCCTCTTCCTAGTCTGGGCTGCATACTGTGTCTCCCTTTGTCTTCACCTGACTCAGAAGTAACGAGGATGGATTCATTTCTAGGCTACAGTCGGTGAGCTGGGAGAGGCGGCAGCACCCTTGGGAGAAACAGCTGAGGTCTCAGCCTTCCAGTCAGAGGCATCTGAGACTCAACCTGTAAGCAAGTCCCTAGATGGAGAAACTTGGAATCCATACCAGCGTCAACAAGAACAGCTGTGCAGGATTACTGAGAAAGAAACTGAACCTGTTTTTGAGAGAGGTAAGGAGCTATGTGAAAACTTCCTTCTCCTGAGATCTACGATAGTACTTTTTTCAGCCAGGATTTTATAGGTATTCTCCAGGTACCCAGCTCTGGGGAGCTGCACAGCCTGATAGCAGGCAGCATGTCCCACCAGGCAGTGGGAGAAGGTAGCAGCCATTGGTGAAGGTGCTGTTTGTCTAGAGGATAGAAGCCGCTAATCACAGAACCTGGTGCTTGTTTGGAAACTTGAGAGAAAGGGAAGGAAACAAGAAGGCTTGCAGCCACACTGTCCATGTGAAATACAGAAGGAATTGTGATCAGAAATAGGTGTTTAAAAAAATGATTGGGCCCAGTGTGGTGGCCCAGCGGCTAAAGTCCTCACCTTGAACACGCTGGATTCCATACGGGTGCCCGGTTCTAATCCCGGCAGCCCCACTTCCCATCCAGCTTCCTGCTTGTGGCCTGGAAAAGCAGTCAAGGATGGCCCAAAGCCTTGGGACCCTGCACCCGCATGGGAGACCCAGAAGAGCTCCTGGTTCCTGGCTTTGGATCGCCACAGCATCGGCTGTTGCTGTCACTTGGGCAGTAAACCATCAGATGGAAGATATTTCTGTCTCTTCTCTCTATACATATCTGACTTTCCAATAAAAATAAATAAATCTTTAAGGAAAGAAAGAAAGAAAGAAAGAAAGAAAGAAAGAAAGAAAGAAAATCTGCTGTCCTGGCACTGTGCTGGGTCAGAGGTCCCCAGTACATCCCAGACTTGCAGAAACAGCATTTTCCAGAGGAAGCTGAGGCCAGAGGCTCAGGGCCAGAGGCTCCATGTGCAGTGTTCCTCTGATAGCTCCTGCTCTTGATCCACCAGCTGTAAGACAAGTTTTGCAGTTGAAATATTGTTTAGCAGATGGAGTGTTTTGGACACTAAGTACCTCTACACAAGAAAAAAGAATAAAAAGTAGGGGAGGGTGTTGTTCAGAATGTGAAGACAGCTGTATACCAGGAGAATAAAAGGCAAGAGCTTCATCTCTTAGGTATTCACCAAATGTCCCAAGGGCCTAGCCTGGCAAGACCTAGGAACCGGGTACGTTGGAGTCTCCTACAATAGTGGCAGGAGCCCACATGCATTGGCCATTTTTCACTGCTTTTCAGGATGTTAGAGGGAGCTAGATCAGAAGCGAAGCAGCCCAGGCATGAACTGGCACCCATTATGGGTACTGGCGTTACATATGGTGGCTTAAAGTGCTGTGTCCCAATGCCAGCTGCTCCTAAGCTGTGATGAGAATAAAAGAATTTTTTTTTTCTCCCAACAGATAGGAACAGTCAACTGTGGCAATGGCAAATGGGTCTGGAGCTGGTAGATACTTGGTTATTAATTGTGGAAAGGCCACTTCCCAGTACCACACACAAGACTTGTAAAGGTGTCACAGCCATACTGACTGGCTGGGGATTTCTATGTTAGAAAAGAGCTCAAAAGTTTCACAGAAATGAGACGTCTCCTCTGGCCCTTTTCCACCCACAGCTGCGCCTGCTCAGCAGATGCTAGCCTTTGCCGAGCAGACAAACACTAAAGACTGGCCAGTGGCGCCCGAGCTCGTCGTGCCAGAGTCCCAGGTGAGCTGTGCTTAGCCACCTTCCTCTGCTGCCTGTGACTCCTAGTGCCCAGGGGGGACTCAGGTCGTGAACTGCAGATCATCTCTGGGAAGATGAGCACCGCCTAAGATGATTGCTAATCTATTGCTTTGTTTATGTCTCCTCATTTTTACAAATACATTCATGTGGGGCTTAGTGATGGAGATGTGTCCCGAAAAGCAAATTGCTGAGTGATTTTTCATTGTGCAATTGTTGTAGAGTGCACTGAGCCACATTTAGTTGATAGAGATAAAAAACTTGATGAAGTCTTTAGATAAGAATCAAGAAACGGGGTAAGCAATAGATAGACAAGGTTGCTATTGATTAATATGACATACTGTCTTAGAATAAATTTTTCTTAGCAAAAAGAATATATGCTGTAACAATATTTTAAATTAAAAAATCACTAGAAATATAAATGACAATAGTGAATGCAATGAATCAGTGAAGTCATTTTCATGATCAAATGTCATGAACCTTATGTAGTTGTGTTCCTGTACATCTGACAGGAGAGCATCTCCACAGATACTTAACACATTATACTGTGACAACGACAAGCAGTAGAAAGTGTCCAGCTCAGTATGACCTGAGGGGACCCTTGTTTTGCTTGTGGTCTCCCATTGATTGAAGCACTGATATGCAGCATATGAGTGTAATTATATACTGTTAATTCCTTCACTTTCTATCCAGGTGGTCAGGCTGCTGCTGTAGTGGTAAGTACTGAGCCAGAGTCCATTCTCTTTCTCTAGAGCTTGTTGTGTTTTGAAGAAGTGGCCGTGTATTTTTCCCAGGAAGAATGGGAGTCGTTGGAACCCACTGAGAAGGCCCTTTACGTTGATGTAATGCAGGAGAACTATGAGGCTGTCGTCTCTGTAGGTAAAGATTGTCCCTGCCCTTTATGTAGAAGTTGAGTCATCTGTTCTGTTCTCACCTTCCTGGGCATAACCCCTTATGGGAGCATCCCTTCTTCTGTTAGCTGATGGTTCTCTGGATGACATGAAGGAGAGGAAAGATGCTTCCAGATTCCCTGGTGAGCTCTTGCCCACTGCACATCCTCTTTTCTGAGTCCGAACATTCTTTATCCCTTCCTCCTACTTCCTGCAAATTTGTGCTCATGTCTTTTCTCCTTTTGGTAAAGGGCGGCCCCATTTACCCAATATTTCAGGCTGAATAACTTGGGGTCATCCTTCGCTGTGATAGTTCCATCATGCCTTCCAGCCAGTGTATCACTACTCCTCTCAACTCCACTGTCAGAATATCGCTTGGGTGCAGTTGAGCCTCAGCCTCTTGCACTGCTAACATCCTGGTCTGAGCCAGTCAGATGCGATTGTTGGTTCCCTAATGATGCCTCCTGCTTCTGCTTTTGCCTACCAGTCTGTTTCCTACATGGCAGTCAAAATTATCTAAAACCTTGATGAAATCATTATGTTTCCCCATTTTAAAAGCACTGCATGGCTTCTTATTTATATTCAGAGCCTAGGGCCCTTCATGAATTGATTGACACTCATCTCTATTCACATTTCCTGCCATTAAGTGTTTGTGTGTCCTCTTAAGAAACACTGATCTTGCCATGTTTGACCCTAACCAAAAACATTGTTGTTCTTTTGTTCGCTTTATTTGGCGCGTTAAGTTCCTTGCTCACTTCCTTTTCAAACATCTCTATGTCTTATGCAATTCAGTTTGTTTATGTCACTTAAGGGAAAAAGAGCAGGTATCTTTCTATGAACTTGTGCATACGAGAGATTATCACATAAGATACTGACTTCTGGGAGCTGATAGATGCTTCCCTTTGATTTAGAATGGAAAAGGGCCACATAAACCCTTGTAAAGGTATCTTGTCACTATTGAAAGAGTAGGGTCTTCTGTGTTTTAGAAATGAGCTCGGAGCTATTTGTAGATGGCAACGAGACGTCTCCTCTGGCTCTTTTCCACCCACAGCTGTGCCTGCTCAACAGATTCTAGCCTTTCCTGAGCAGACAAACACCAAACACTGGACAGTGGCGCCCAAGCACATCTTGCCAGAGTCCCAGGTGAGCTGTGCTTTTAGCTCCTTAGGGCTGCTCAAGCTTGGCTTCATCTACCTATCCCCGCTACCCAGCTTCCCCAGCAGATGTCCTGAGGTATATCATCCAGATGTTCTCTCCTGGACAAATAAAACTAGCAAACAGGAATTCCTGGCTCCTCCTTTTTTGCCTTCTCACATTAAAGAAAAATCATATACTATTAATTCCTTCACTTTCTATCCAGGTGGTCAGGCTGCTGCTGTAGTGGTAAGTACTGAGCCAGAGTCCATTCTCTTCTCTAGAGCTTGTTGTGTTTTGAAGAAGTGGCCGTGTATTTTTCCCAGGAAGAATGGGAGTTATTGGAACCCACTGAGAAGGCCCTTTACGTTGATGTAATGCAGGAGAACTATGAGGCTGTCGTCTCTGTAGGTAAAGATTGTCCCTGCCCTTTATGTAGAAGTTGAGTCATCTGTTCTGTTCTCACCTTCCTGGGCATAACCCCTTATGGGAGCATCCCTTCTTCTGTTAGCTGATGGTTCTCTGGATGACATGAAGGAGAGGAAAGATGCTTCCAGATTCCCTGGTGAGCTCTTGCCCAATGTATAAACTCATTTCTTACCTGAAAAAACTTTTTGATCCCTTCTTCCCCAAATCTGCTCTTCATTTCTTTAAATCTTATTGTAGAACACCACTGTAACCCATTTCTCAGGGCAGAAACTTGACTTGTCATCCTTTACTCTGCTTTTGCTGCCATACCCCACAAATCCTCTTTTTGGAAAATTATTATTATTGTTTAAATTATTTAAAAGGCAAAATTACAGAAAAAGAGAGATCTTCCATCTGCTGGTTTACTCCCCAGATGGTCTCAATAGTCAGAGCTGAGCCTATCCGAAACCAGGAATTAGGAGCTTCTTCCAGATCTTCCTCATGGGTGCAGGGTCCCAAGGCTTTGGTCTTGTCTTCCACTGCTTTCCCAGGCCACAAACAGGGAGCTGGATGGGAAGTAGAGCAGCCAGGACTTAAGTCAGAGGCCATATGGCATACGAGCCCTATTGGCTTAGATTTAACCTGCTATATCAAGGCGTCACCCCTACCCCACCCCCATTGATGCAATTCTTAGCTTCATTTTCGCTTTATATTCTGAGTCCGATCATGTGTCAGTGTGTCGCTCACTTCTCATTCTTGTCTAAACTGGTGTTATCCTGAACTAACTCAACATCTGTAGGTTGCTTGCTTCCTGGTGTGTGTGTGTGTGTGTGTGATTTTTTAAGGTTTTTTTCTTTGGGGGGGGGGAGAAGGTGAAGAGTGGGTAGGGAGACAGAAATGTTCCATCCACTTGTTAACACCCCGTTTGACTGCAATAGCCAGTGCTGGGTCAGATCAGAGCCAGGAGCCAGGAACTCTATCCTGCTCCCTTTTGTGGGAAGCATGGATCAAAGAACTAGGCCCATCTCCTACTGGTTTCCCAGATGCATTAGCAGAAAGCCAAATTAGAAGTAAAGTAGCCGGGACATAATTGGCATTCTGATATAGGATGACAGCATTGAAACCTGTTTTGCCACAATTCCAACTCCTTCATATTTGGTCTGTTGAGATTTAATTACTGATTTGAAAGGTAAAGAGAGAACTTCTATCCTCTGGTTTCACTCCCCAAATGGACAATGGCCAGGGGTGGGCCAGGCTGAACTGAAGGAGTCCAGTGCTCCATCTGAGTCTCATATGTGAGTGGCAGGGAGAGGCTCAGTCACCTGGGCCATCTGCTGCTTTCCCAGGCACATTAGTGGGGACCCACAATGGAAGTGGGGTAGTCAGGACTTGAATCAACAGCAGCTTAGTCTACTGTACCACAGTGCTCTCCCATGAAACCTAATTTTTTTAAATGCTTTTTCTCATTCTTTAAGTTTCTTGAAAACATTTATCACTTCTTGGTGTTATTTATTAGTATGTAAGCATCATTAAATCAGGGAGTTTTGTATTCATCACTGTAACCTCACCTGTAGTGTAGTGACTGGCACACTATACTGAATAAATATTTATTCAGTGCATGAGCAATGAATGCATTTCATTCTTAGTAATTTCTGTTTGGAAAAGGTACACCAAGTGATTTTGATTTGTTCCCATGGTTATATAGATCTGTCCTGCCGGGCCTAGGCTAAATCAAGGAGAACTAAGCAAGTTCAGTACAATGTGATAGCAGTGACTTGAGTGTGTGGTGCTTGATGCACTGTCTTTTACCCTGGCACCTTTACACATGATCTGATCCATCTTGAATCCTCTTAAAGAGCAGCTGAAATTCCCTGCAAACTCCAGAATTTGGTTTCCCCTGGGTCAAACATGATCTTTATGGCAGGAGAGGAGGAGTGTGCACTTTATTCCCATTCCCTGGCTCCTTGCCATTGATCTACTTCAGGTTTGTTTCTTAGTCTCTGTTTTTCATAGCAACCCATAAATGCAGTATTGAGACTGTCCTTGGGCCCGGCACAATGGCTCAGTTGACTAAATAATTACTTTGCAAATGCTGGGATCCCATATTGGTGGTGTTTCATGTCACGGCTGCTCCACTTCCCATCCAGCTCCATGCTCATGGGCTGGGAAAGCAGTAGAGGATGAACCAAAGCCTTGGGACCCTGGGAGGCCAGAAGCTCTTGGCTTTGAATCAGCTCAGCTCCGGATGTTGTGGCCACTTGGGGAGTGAACCAGCAGATAGAAGATTCTTCTCTCCATAAATTTGCCTTTCCAATAAAAATCAATCATTCTTAAAAAAAAAAAAAACCAAGCAAACAAAAACAAACCTGTCCTTGACTCTTCCTGACACAGTCTGGAATTGATGAATGAGTTTGATATTAGTTAGTCTTTGACATCATTGTCTCCATTTCACAGCCTTATTTGTGCTTCCTAAACCGAAAGTGATCTCCTGCTTGGAGCACGGGGAGGAGCCCTGGGTTCAGGGAGCCCTGGAGTTCCAGCCAAGTCTTGGGGAGTCTCCTACAGATAAAGACCTCGTGAGGAGAGGAGGTATTTGTGTCTTGTCGCAAATCTTTGCAAGAGCTTAACATTTTAAGATTTGAGGTATGTGGGGGGAGTGTGTGCGTTTTAGTTATTACTGAATTTTTCTGCTTCTGTAGTTTCTTGTTCTGGAATACAGATAGCTGATTTGTTTTTTTAAAAAAAATTATTTATTTATTTACTTATTTGTTGCTTATTCCAAAAGGATTGAAACTCAGAGATGACACTGAGAATTGTCAGCCTCCAGGTCTTTCTGAGTTACAAATACCATCTCCAGGAAACATGGCATCCAAGAAGGCCAGAGAGAAAGTTGTCCAGAAAATAACAGGCAAAGAAAATCATGGTGATGCACAGAGCGTGGGGAGGTGTCAGCGAGAATTTCCAGTGAAGAAAAGAAAGAAACGCTCCACCTGGAAACAAGAACTACTGAAGCTTATGAATCTTCACAAGAAAAACCGTGCTGGAGAGAAGCCTTTTAAATGTCAGGAATGTGGGAAAAGCTTCAAAGTTAGCTCTGATCTTATTAAGCACCAAAGGATCCACACTGAGGAAAAACCTTACAAATGTCAGCAGTGTGAAAAGAGGTTTAGATGGAGTTCTGATCTCAATAAGCACTTAACAACACACCAAGGAATAAAGCCATATAAGTGCTCATGGTGTGGGAAAAGCTTCAGTCAAAATACAAATCTGCACACACACCAACGAACTCATACTGGAGAGAAGCCCTTTACTTGTCATGAATGTGGAAAAAAATTTAGTCAAAATTCCCACCTTATTAAGCACCGGAGAACCCACACAGGTGAGCAGCCTTATTCCTGTGGCGTGTGCAAGAGGAACTTCAGCAGGCGGTCAAGCCTTCTTAGACACCAGAAGCTCCACCAATAAAGGGAGCTTGTCCTATGTCCTCAATGTAAAGAAATTCACCAAATGGAGACACTGGTGTGTGTGTGTGTGTGTGTGTGTGTAAAACACACGTAGATTCGTGAGGCATCAATGACTTGTCATTGTTCAGAAATGTGGTATAATGATTCTCAAATGGAATCAAGGTGGGCTATGCAGGGAATAGTTGTACTGCTTGCTGTCTTTTACTTGTAACTGTCAGAAGTCACTTATCCAGAGATGTGTTCCCAGAGCATTCTGAATAAGGGAAAAGGATGCTTGGGGAGTATGTCTCTGAAAAATTGGCAAAATCAGTTTTGAAGCAGATGCAGTTATTGTCTTCTGTGGTCACTCTTAAACACATATGATAGAAACATTTGTAGCTGGCCTTGTAAAACAAAAAGCACTAATATGTATGTTCATTGTGTATGTTTTACTATTCAGGGTAGCATGCTTACCAGTTTCAGGAATTTCATGGAGCAGAAATGAATTGTAATGCCGAGTGTTCCAAGAACAAAATTATTCTTTTCTCTTGTAGTCACTGTTGACAAAGGTGGACTCACTTGAATTTCTTCTTGAACTTTTTAGCTCTTTTGGCTCTTAAATTCTCTTAACACAATTTTTACTATGGTGAAAATCTATTTATCTCACCATTAGGGAATCTACCAGCTGAACTAAAAATGCACTATTTTATGGTTCTCATTGGTGGTGTTTGAAAATTGGATAACACCTTTAACGAGGACATATTGAAACGGGTAGGAACTTGTAGCCATGGGATATTATATTAGATGTAAAGAATTTGATACAATAAGTGAAATTAGACTGTTTACTTACCTCATAATGTCAGTAGGGTAAAGCAGCCATAAAAATGAGCACTTCCTAAAACCTGAAAGAAGATAGATTAATATCTCAGGCTTTTATTTACATTTTTAATTTGACTTCTGTTTGTTATTAAGAACATGAGTGCTTTTTTTTGGTTGTTTGTTTTAATGAAAAGTGTAATATGTGTATCCTGCAGGCAGGATTCTGTGGCTTCTTGCTGTGGAGACCTGGGCATCCAGGGAGGAGACCAGGTTCCTGATAGGAAAGGTTGGTTGGGTGAGGGAGGGCAAGCCCGTGTCTGTTGTTGAGTTTTACTGTACCAGGGTCTGCCCAGGTGTCCTTTCCAGCACAGCATTTAACAGAAGGCTTGTGAAATAACTTTACTGGGCTGCTGAAAGTCTGTTGCCTGTGCATTTTCTTACACTATCTATTTCATTATAACGGTGACTCAGGTATGTTCTTGTTAGGGATTTTAGGTGTATCAGGAAAGAGGTTAGAGAAATCATCTCTTCCAAATCTAATTTTTTTTTTTTTTTTAAAGAAGTACAGGGACTTAGTCGACCATATCACTAGAAAGCCCATGGCTGTCGCACAGCTGTATTGGGCAGGTGTGGAGGCCACCTTAGCAGGACATAGATGTTTTCTTTGCACAGCTAACCTGGGTGGTGCTGTTTTGAATCTAGCTTAAAAATGTGTTTGTGGATTTGTCACTGAAGCCCTCTTAGGTCTCCCATTTTCTGTATAAATAAGAAATAACACTCAGGGTTGTTGTAGAGATTCAATGGACTGATGAATGTACAATACCTGGGAAAGAGCCTGGCCCATAGTAGGTACGTGTTCAGGACGTGCTTTCTCCCCTGCTCCCAGTGAGAAGTTGGGCTAATTGATTATATTAAAGAAGCAAATGCTTCTGTGGCCATTCCAGCTCCATTCAGATGCTGAGTCCTTGTGGTTCCCTGAGTTGATTTGCTTTTTGGCTTCATGCTGTACATTGCTTGGCACAAGAGCTATTCATCTGTAGCTTTTAGAGGGTTTTTATTCTCTGAAATGAATTCTACCAAGTATTATTTCCTTCAAAAAAATTTTTTTTAAGATTTATATATTTTTGTTGGATAGTCAAATATACGGAGAGAAGGAGAGACAGAGAGGAAGATCTTCTGTTCGATGATTCACTTCCTAAGTGACCGCAACAGCCAGAGTTGCGCCGATCCGAAGCCAGGAGCCAGGAGCTGCTTCTGGGTCTCCCACGCTGGTGCAGGGTCCCAAGGCTTTGGGCCATCCTCGACTGCTTTCCTAGGCCACAAGCAGGGAACTGAATGGGAAGCGGGGCTACTGGGATTAGAACCAGTGCCCATATGGGATCTTGGCATGTGCAAGGTGAGGACCTTAGCTGCTAGGCCACTGCACCAGGCCCTGCCTACTTCTTAGCTGACACTTCTTTGCCTTAGACTCTTGGGACTCTTCCTCTTTTTTCAGGACTTACGTGGGGGTTTCTTTTTGGCTTTGCATTCATACAGTTTAATGAGGGCCTGGTATGCTAGGCACTGGCTTGCCTCTGAAGACATAACAGTGGGCAAGAGATAACGCATGCCTTCAGGGTTCTTGTATTTCAGCAAGCAGTGTAAAGGAGAATAAATTGTTTTTGCTTTCTACGGTAAGGGTCATGAGATGGTTTAGGCCATTGGTGTGGGCTGAAGCATTTATTTGTTAGTTCAGAATTCCAGTACTCTCCTTTCCTGCACAGAAGGTATATGGGAGGAACCTGGAAATCTCTTCCCAAATCCCCGGATCTGTCATGGATGTTTGCAGGAATGAGAAATAAAATGTCTGTTGTGTTAAACCGTTGAGATGTTGGTGCTGTTGTGTTTCTGCGGATAATCCTGGCTGTCTTGAAGGAGCTTGCTATGGCACTTCGGGGAAATGGCTGTTCTACCAAGGCTCGGGATCTTTTCCTCTTTCATTCCACCTGGCCTTTGGGCCTCAGGGAGATCTGCTTTCCTCTAGGTGTAGAGTCGAGCTGATGAAACACTGAAGGAAGATTTCGGAGCTCATAGTGCTCTTGAGTAGTAGATGGACAAGTCAACTGGACAGGCAACCACTCTTCTCTCCACCTAGCCTGTCCCACTTACCTTATTCGTCATTTCCCTTTGCCTGATGGCCCTGAAAGCGATGGAAGGACTGGGGAGAAGGGAAAGGGTGCCTGCCCTTCCCTTCAGGAGTGTGGGAGGCTTCAGAGAAAGGTTCAGGAACCACTCTGTCCTATCTTCTGTGAGTCGCACCTTGGAAGGTAAGAGCTAAGACAAGCAGATTTGTGAGGGTCAGAAGAGGGGGAGGTGGATGCTCTCGCTGGACCAGGAAGTACGGTCTAGGAGAGGCTTGGAGAGGAGTAGAGGCAGAAGAGAGCCAGCTGACTCCAGTAACAGCCAGTAACCATCAACACACTGACTCACCGCATCTTGGGCTAGGGATTTGGGGTCTAAATTGGAAAAATAGATTTGTGCAGTTTTGTCACAAATGATGTTTTTTTAATATAATCTTTATGTGGGTGATTAGGGCACACTGGGTCAAGGGCTACAGGAAAGTGGATAATACCATTGTTTCCACATTAATTTTTCCCTGTATCTGGGGTCAGGGGAGAAACAAAGGGAGAAGCCCCACCCAGCCTCCCACCCATCCCAGGTCCCCGACGTGGGGCGCGCTCTCAGGGCCCTGCTCAAGCAGTTTTGATAGTTCAACAGTTCTGAGTTGCTGCCAATCTTGCCACTCCGAACATGATGAAATCTGTTCAGAATCCACTGGCTGCCATAGTCTCTTCATGGCTGGGGTTCTGAGATCAGCAGTTCAGTTGAAGGGATCCCCAAAAAAACTTCATCTGAGGTGATCCAGACCTGATTCTTATATGTGCTTGCCAAGGACAGGCTCCGGCACAGTATGAGGATTACTTTATATATTATTAAAAAATTAATATAAAACATTTCTAAGATGATAAAATGATCAAAGTTTAACAAATAGACTATTTGGCATGGTTTACAAATGAAGGACACAGCCCTACATTTAGATATTAGTATTAAAGTTCTCACAGATATGCCCTCCAGAAACAACCAAATGATTTCTAGAAAAGCAGATTGTGTTTTATCTTAGTATATTCTGATAGCAGCCTTGCAGTTGTTCCAGAATTGCTTCTGAGAACCCTCTCATTCACCCAGTGCATAGCTCCTCCCATTTGCTTGCATGGTCTAAGGGCCACAGTGCTGGGACCATTCCAGACCCGAATGGAAGATTCCATTGAGCAGATGGACATTCAAGCTGGCATTGGAAAACCTATTATCCTCTGAAGGAAAGGCCAGGAGAATTTAGAATCAAACTAAAACTCTTAGAAATTCTATCAGTTCTGGGGCTGTTGCAGAATGTTGAATTGTTCTGGAAAGTCTGGTAGGAGGAATGCTATGCAGCAGCTTTTAAGTGGACAGTTTGGGTAGTGAAAGATTAAATTCCTTAAAAGTTTTCCCAAACATTAGCAAGTGTTCATGTGCATCTCCTGCCTTTCTGGTCGGTTCTCTTGGGACTCTGTTAATCAGCTCCTCTGCAGGGGCGGCCTAGACAGAGGGACTTACCTCTGAAGCTCCCGTACTCTTTCCATAGGCTTGCTTCTCTCCTGGAGATTGTAACCTTGGAAGTGTAGCCAAGTGGAGAATACTGAAGCGTTACCCATACTGTTTCTAGTGTTCCTGGCAGGAAGCCCTCCAAACAAGCATAACAGTGTATTTTTGTTATTGAATCTTTTCTACACTTTATTTGTGGTCACAGGAGCAGTGGCCTGGTATGACCGGAGCATCTACCAAAACCTGCTATGCACAGTATTTTTGTTGGCGGTGGTAGTGGTGAATCCTCCAGTGGACAGTGATACTGGGGCTATAGTCATGTGTTGTCTGATCAGCCACCTGTAAGTTTTCTTGCTCTTGTCTGGGCGGAGGATTAGAAGTGGAACAGTGGGGACTTGAAAGAAGTAGAGGCAGACAGGAATCTTACCTCTGAGTGTTCACCAGCTTCCTGCAATAGCCAGGAGTGGGTCAGGCCAAAGCCAGGAGTGTGAAACTCAGAGTCTTCCATGTGATAGCTAGCAGATATCCAGGCACCTGAGTCACCACTTGCTGCCTCCCAGAGTGTATGTTAGTAGGAAGCTGGAATTAGAAGCAAAGATGAGGGGGCCAACATTGTGGCATACTAAGTAAAGCCTTCACCTGGGGTGCCGGTATCCCATATGGGTGCCTGTTTAAGTCCTGACTACTCCACTTCCTATCCTGCGCCCTGCTGATGTTCCTGGAAAGCATTAGAAGATGGCCCAAAGCCTTGTGCCCCAGCGCACCCATGTGGTTGAGCCAGAAGAAGCTTCAGGCTCTAGGCTTCAGACCAACCCAGCTCCAGCCCTTTTGCTGCTGTTTGGGGAGTGGACCAGCAGATGAAAGATCACTCCATCTCCTTCTCTCTCTAAAATAAATAAATCATAAACCACAATGATAGCAAAAAAAAAAAAAAAAGACTCAAATCTAGGAATTCCAATATGGACAAATTTATTGTAAGAGGAGACTTAAACCTTTCTCTCCTTGCCATCCCTGCCCCCACCTTCTGTACTGTTCTTTCGTATGAAAATAAATACATTGCAAAAAAATACTCCTGGGATAAAAAACTCCTAATGTGGGTGTTAGTGAGCAAGATTACCTTCAAGACATGGAGGCACTATGCTTCAGGAATAGCAACAATGCATGCTGATGTTCACTTCCTGGGACAACCCAAACAGACCCGTTCCTTACCATGCCAGTCAAGATGAGGCTTCTCCCCATTCCCAGGAGAGAGCCTCCACCTGATGGAGCTCGTGCACTGCTGCCTCCATTCCCACCCACGTAGGCTCTGGTGTCTGTCACTGCCTTGGACCATCCAGGTCTCTGATCCCTGACCCCTAGCTTCACATCTGCATTGCAGCTTTAGAAGCTACAGTTGAATGCCCACCATTGAGTTCTGGAAACTTCACATATGGCAAGTGAGGTAGGCATTTGTTGTCTGCCTCCCAGCATCCAGTTTCCCTTTCTTCCCAAAAACTGATTGTGGGCGGGAGGGGGGTGGGGGATCTGGTAGGTTCCTGATCATGGATTCCAGGAGTCAAAAATAAAACCCATACTGAGTTAATAAGAAGAGGATTCTAACCCCTGGTGAGGTGATCGTTAGGATATAACCTAGGTGGGTCTCAATAGGACTTCTGTTGGGAATTCTAGTCCAGACTGATGATGGCTGTTGATGGTCATCTTGAAATTAGGAGAGAGGTGACCTTGGTGTGAAATCAATATCCTGGAAGTCAGTGGAGTGATATACATTCAGTCCCCAGTGGCATAGCAGCTTTAAAGTCATGCCTCACCTGTTCCCTGCAGCAATGCTGGGCTTCTCAGATGCATGAATTCATGCATTCGGTTTCTTTTCCTCCCTTCCTCCCCCCTCCTTTCCTTCCTTCCTTCCTTTCCTTCCT